GGGAGCTGTTGGGATAGGCTTAGCACCCACAGAGCCCCCCCCCCAGCACCCCCCGAGCCCCCCTCAGGACTCACAGAGCCCCTCCCAGCACCCACAGAATCCCCCCCAGCACCTTCAGAGACCCCCAGCACCCACAGAACCCCCACAGACCCCCACCCCAGCACCCTCAGAGCCCCCCCAGCACCCACGGGAAAGGTTGCCCACGTGGCTCGTGGATGCTTGTGTGTGTGTGTGTGTGTGTGCACGTGTGCGTGGGCACACGCATGAGCGTGGCTTCGCCCGCCTGCGTGCGTGCTGGCATGGGGGTGCGTGTGCGTGTGCGTGCACGCCTGCCCGTGCACACACACGTGGGCGTGCGCTCGCCCTTGCCCACGTGAGCATGCGCCCGCGGGTGTGCTTGTGCGTGGGTGTGCACACACGTGTGTCCCCCCCCCCACGAGTGGGAACCCCCCCTCCAGACACCGTGGGAACCTGGGGCCTCTGCTCCCTGCGCTGCCCCCCCCCGAGGATGTGCCCCCCTAAATGAGTAACACCAGGATGGGGCCCTGGGGGGGGGGGTGGCCACAAAGCTGAGCATCTCCTCCCCCCCCCCAACAACAGGGGGGGCCACTACCTGCAAGGGGTTGGGGAGGGGGTGTCCTATTGTTTTCCGTGGGACGTGCTCCTCGTGGGAGACACCCCGTGGTGGGGAGGAGGGGATGAGGCCCCCTCTCCGTCCCCCCCCCCCCGGTTCCCAGAGGGTTGCCCCCCTTTCCCTATTCTCCCCCAGCGCCCCGGCGTCCCCGGGAGGGGCTCCTCCAGCCGCCACGCAGACCCACCAAATGACCCTTCACCCACGCGTGACACCCCCCCACACACACACACTTCACCAAACATCCTCCGCAAGGCAGCGGGGGAGGGAGTTTGTCAGTCCACCCTCTTCCCAGAGCCTCTTCCCCTCTGCGTGGGCTCCCCCCCACGCGTGCCGTGGGGCCGCACACGAAGCGACCCTCCCTCCGCACACCTGCCCGGGCCCCGCCCGCCCCCCCCCGCCCCGCGCATGCCCTTCCCACCGCCGCTTCCTCCGCGCTCCTTAAAATATTTCTACATCCACCCCCCCTCCCTTTTTTTTTTTTTTTTTTTGTTTGTTTGTTTGTAATTTCTTCCCCTTTCCCCTCCTCTCTTTGCAAAGTCCAACTTCCCCCCGCCCCAAACACAAGTAAATTCCACCTCCCCAAACTCAGGGTTGAAACTTAGGGATGTGCACAACCCACCTTTGGGCTGTACGGAGGGGGGGGGGGTGGGTGCGGCTGACGGGGCTGGGGGGGGGGTTGCCGGCCAAACCAGTAACATAGAGACCTTCTTTGGCCTTATCTCCTCTCCAGCAGCCCTCGGGCGGGGGGGGTGTGTGTGGAAGGGGGGGGAGCTGAGATTCCTGCCAGATAAGATCCTTCTCTGCAACTCGCCCCTTTGCAAAACTCACATTCCAGCTCAGCGCCCCCCTCTCCCCCCCCCGCCCCCCCGCAACACGTCGCCCACCCCCTTTTCCCACGCAAGGCAGGGAATTTTTAAAACGCTTCACTATTCCTAGAGACGTAAAAAAAATTAAAAAAAAAAATAGAAATGAAAAAAAAAAAAAAAAAGGAAATAACTAAAACGCATGGAAAAAAGGGGAGGAGGGAAAAAAAAAAAAAAAAAAAAAAAAAAAAGAGACTTAAGAAGAAGGAAAAACTTACTGGGGTGGCCGGGGAGATGCTGGTCCGGGAGCCCCGCAGCCGCCGCGCTCCGCACTAAGCGCCTTGTCCCACTGTCCCAGCATTAAACAGCTCTAGCAGCTGCGATGGTGGACAGTTAAGATTATATATGATGTAAATATATTGTGGGTTTGTCAGCTCCCCCAAACCATAAAACTTAGTTTAATGACATCACGTGCTCCCTGAGAGCCATTCAGGGCTTTTGCTTAGGGCCATCCACATAAATAACCTTCAAAAGTTTTAAACTACTAAATTCACATAGAAGCCATGAGTATTTCTGCTAATGTTCTCATGTTCTCGGTGAAACTAAAAGAGCTTTGCTTTTTTTTAAAAAAAAAAAAAAAAAATCCATACCAAAAAGTCCTGGATTTCTATATATATATATAAAAAAAAAAAAAAAAAGGAACTTTGTTTGTTGTTTTTGGGCCATTTTAAGTTCTCACGGGGTTGACACGGATGACGGGGCAAGGTAAGTCCTTTTCTATTTCCTTCTTGAGTCTTTGGGAAGGGATTGAGCAGCCGAGAGGGGAAATAAAAAGGCAAATCTCCTCCAGACTGCACCAGCAACAACATCCACCAAACACCCACCAGCCCCCAGAAAAATGTCCCTTAAAAGAAGAGAGGGATGAGGGGTGCAGAGAGCCCCCCCCGCCCCCCCTCTGCCCCCTCCCCGGGCCAGGAGAAGCCAATAATTAATCATAAGTAGCCGCACTCCACTCCGCAGGGTGGAAATGCGAAAGTTTTAAATTTAAAGTGGCTTTTGGGGGGGTGTTTTGGGGTGTTTTGGTTTTTTTTTTTTTTTTTTTCCTCTGCTCTCGTAGATAAAACACGCGTGGTCTGGGAGCTGGTTAACCCTTGCCTTAACAAACCCAAGCTGCTTTGACAGCTTCCCGGTTAAAAAGGAGAGGAAAAAGGTGTTGTTAGTGTGCGAAATGTAATCAGAATAAAAAATAATAACCCAGAGACGCTGCAATAATACCGGTGAGAGTGAGGGGAAGACATTGCTTAAGAGAAAATTGAACGGAATAACGAGCAATTACCAGTACACGCCAAGAGGGTTTTGTGCCTGAACAACCAGTCAATAGATTTACACAGCATGGGGAAAAAATAAAAACCGGAAAAAAAAAAAAAAAAAAAAAAAAAGAAAAGAAAGAGAGATAATTGCAATCGCTACTGAGCCCTCCCAGCCTCCCTGAAATCACCCCAGGCCCCAGGAGTGGGGGAGCCACTCTTATATAGGCAGCAAATAAATGTGCGAGAGAGAGCCTCGCTTGGCTTTGCAGTATTTCACTCCAAACCGACGGGAAAATGACAGTCGAGACGGAAAAAAAAAAAAAAAAAAAAAGAAAAAAAAAAAAGGATTTTTATATCCACTGGCTGTTAAACGACAGTAAAATTAAATATCTGTGCAGCTCACAACTCGCCAACTAACCAGAACCCAACATCCACGAATAACAACCATCAACTAAAATAATAAGAATTAAAATCAAAGCCCTCGGAGATGAGGAGATGCCCCATTTGAGCACGCTGTGCTAATTGTACCCCTAAAGGCAGCCGGAGCCGCTGCTGGAAGAAACTTTTGTTTTGCAGGTTCAGGAAATTGTTCCGTTGTTTCCCATGTGTAAAGGAAATCCTATAAAGTTTTATGGAGCTTATTGGCTTCTCCCAGCATTTGTTTTCGCCTGTAAATAGCTGGCAAGACACAGGAGGAGTCCCCCTGCGTGTGCGTGGCTGGGTGCACAGCGGAGCCATCTGCCTGGGAAAATATAGGTTGAGCTCTATGCAAATATGCCGGCGCACGTATAGACGCTGTATACGCACCTCTCGGCGGTGCACGAGTGGGTTTGGAGGGGAGGGGAAGGGGGGGGGGGGGGAGGGTTGCACCCACCCTACGCCTCCGTGGGTGGAAAGCACGTGGGGGAGGCGCGGGTAGACCCGCCACGAAGGGGTTTCGCAGCCCCGCGCCTACGCCATATGGGCTGTAGGTATGGAGGAGTCCATATGGACTGAAGTGTCAGCCTCCGGGATGTATGGACGCCCTATGGAAGGAGCGTTTCCACCCCAGGAGCAGAGCCCATGTGTTCCGCATTAGGCCCCTCCACCTTAGCAGAGACAGAAAATAACAGATATTTTTTAAAAATTAAAAAAAAAAAATATATATATATAAAGCCAAGAAGGGGGGTGCAGCACCCTCCTCCCCCCAGGGGCTGCTCTCCTTGCGGGGGGGGTGTTCAGTAGGGCCTGGAGCCCCCCACCTCCCCAGACAGCCCCCCCCTCCCGCTCCCCCATCCCAGTCACCTCCAGTCAGGCACTGGGACCTCCTTCCCGCGTCCAGGTGCCGCCCGACCTGCAGCAAGAGGCAGCGGCTGCGAGATTTTGGGGCAAAATCATTTTATCCCGAGTATACATTGGGGAGAGAAGAGGGGGGAGGAGAGAGAAACAGAGAGAGAAGGTAATTTTAATCCGATATTCCTATTAAAATGCCATCTGCCAGGCGAGGACACCAGCCTGGAATGAAAAGCCTGAGAGAAATCAAGAAAGATAAAGAAGTCCGAGCTGGGACAGGGAGCAGCTCACCTTCCGCAGGGCCCAGCCAGCACTTAATCACCAAATTTAAAAAAACAAACAAACAAACAAACAACTTCCCCCCCCCCCCCCCCTTGCCCATGCTCTAGGATATCGGAAAAGCAGCACGTACCTTTACCAGGGTGGGGGGAGAAGGATGCTCTAAGCTAAAGCATCCTTCCCTCCCTCCTGAAACCTGCTGTTTTTTAAAAAATAAATTATTATATATATATATAAAAATCAATACTTTGCCGAAGTAGCAGAGGAGCAGAAAGCTGTTCCAAGGCGGGGAAAGAGCACAGAAATATCTGCCCGGCGCGCCAACTTTTGGATTATTTACTGTTTATTCCATATGACAAAATAGAAGTTTCATCGCCTTTTTGCAGACGAAACGACAACTAATAAATATACGGAGTACATCATTGGGGGGGGGGGGAATAAAAGGAGTTACTGCATTGGACTGAATTTAGACAGAGATGTACAAATTGGGGTGCGCCTTGGCTTTTTTTAATATATATCTTAGCATTTAGCAAATCTACATTAATTACGCAACAAATAAATACACAATAATATTAAGTCCAGAGGTTATTTCTCCCTCCCCGCCCCCCCCCCCCCCCCCCTCCATGCTGCACTTTCCTGCCCGGAGATTTCGGAGGATCCGCACAACCCGGTGTCGTTCCCCCCCCCCCCCCCCGTCCCCCCCTCACCCAGTCTATGCATTTCTTTTATATGCAAATAATAATAAAATGATGCCATCCGAGTCCCAACGAAAACGCGCAAACACACACCAGGGACCCCCCCCGGCTCCTCTCCGGGGTTTTTTAAGTGGATTTTGGGGGTTTCCGAGCCCCAGCGAGGGGCAATATTTTTATTTCCGACTCGGGAGAGCCAAAGCGGAGGTGCCAGAGCATCTTTCCTGGGCAATTCCCAGCAAACCAGAGCAGCGATTCCCTCCTCCTGTCAGGCTGGGACTTCACAAAACTTACTGGGTTTGGTGGTTTGGCTTTTTTTTTTTTTTTTTTTTCCTCTCCTTTTTTCTCTTCTTCACCAGCCCTTTTTTTTTTTCTGTCCATTTTTCCTACGAATACTACGATTTTTAGAGCTGAGAGGACACCACCCAGACAACCTGCGGATTTTTTTTTTTTAAGATTTTCTGGTGTTTTTTTGTTTCTCGGTGATTTTTTCCCCCAAAGAGCGCACAGGTTAGGACACTTAGTAACAACCTAAAGAGCGATACACTAAATTTTTGCATGAAGCTAACAGCAGGGTTCTGGTTTTTTTTTTTTTTTTGCATACTAATAAGAGCTCTCCTTTGTCTGAGGGATTTGTGAGGGTACGGACCAGAGTCCATCCAGCAGCTCCCTCCCTCCCCACCCCAAAATCAAAGTTTCCTCAAGGTAGCTTCCACCAGAAGTGACGGAAAAGAAAAAAAAAAAAAAAACAACAACAACCAAAAAAAAAAAAAAAAAGCAGGGGACACCCCCCCCTCCCCATCTCCTGCAATCCCACCTAAAGAGCCTCTTTGCTTTTCAACTTGGAATCTTTCTTCCACTTCATCCTCCGGTTTTGAAACCAGATTTTGATTTGTCTCTCGTTCAGGCAGAGGTTGTTGGCGATCTCAATGCGCCTCCGCCGGGTCAGGTATCTGTTAAAATGAAATTCTTTCTCTAGTTCCAGAGTTTGGTAGCGGGTGTAGCTGGTGCGGGAGCGTTTACCATCCGTTTCTGGGGAAAACAAAACAAAACAAAACAAAACAACAAAAAAAAAAAAAAAAAAAAGGGAAGACACCGCATGACAAGCCAAAGCAATTCTGGATGGATTTAAAAATTTTATTATTTTGTTTGTTTGTTTTTAATGATAAAACCCGGTTACAAATCTAGAATATACAGAAGTTTGCTGGGGCTGTGGGCACGCAGGGAGGGAAGTAGCCTGAAATCCTTCATTCCCCAACACCTTCAGCCCCCCAGGTCCCCCCCTTTCCTTTCTAAAGCCCAGATCAAACGCATGTAGATGAGCCAGAAGTGAACCTGCTTCCTCTCGGACAATAAGGAAGTGTACAAAGGAGGGAAATATCTTTTCTTGGGGATCTTGTCTCTTCCCCCCACCGCCCTTTAGCCCTGGGAAGGTGGAGGGGGAAAAAATCTCTCCACGCTTTCCCTCCACCTTGGCTTCTGGTGTCTTTTTTTTTTTTTTTTTAAAGCTCACCCTCAAAGAACATGTGTATTTCAAGTTATTTTTAACCCCCCCCTCCCAAAAAAATGGAATATTGCCTTTTATACACGTTTTGTTTCTATGATCCAATTATGCTGTCATAAATTTGGGCGTATATAGCCTCTAAGCCTTTTAGTGGACAGTTTTACGAGCAATTGATGCCTTAGTCGTAAAATTTACGACCTCAGGTTTTTTATTATTTGCCCCGTATGGCCTATAAAAACCCAAGGCAAAAAAAAATCCTGTGAAACAAAAATCAAGAAGTGAAAGTTTTACCATGGCTCATGTGTAGTTTGGTCATCCAGGGGTAAATTTGTGGAGGTTGTTGCTGCTGCAGTTGTGGTCCTCCTTGTTGTGCTGTTTGCACGGGCTCAGCTTTGATTTCACCCGAGCTCTTAGATCTCTCCTCCAGCGTCGTGTTAGCACTCTTCTGACTGTAAATCCCGGGATTTAGGGATGCTTGCTCCTCTCTGGCTAAAGGATGCCCTGAAGAGCCCATGACCGTGCAGGAAGGTCGCTCGGGGTTAGCTCGGGGGGTTGCAGACATGTCCAAGCCGCTCAGGGAGGTGGCAGCCCCGGAGGAGGGGAGTGTGATGCTTAGATCCAAGCCACTGTAGCGGTACCTGGGGGACTGAACCTCAGGCACACTTCCATAATTTCCATAACTTTGCATGGCATAGGCAGGAACGGGGGGACTTTGCTTATAAAACGAATTGGCGACGTAAGAACTCATGGCGGAGGAGGGGAGGAAGAAAAATAAAAAAAGGGGGGGAAAAAAGAAAATTTGGGGAGGGGGGATTTTTTCCCCTCTTTTTTCCCCTCTTTTTTTTCCTCTTTTTTTTTTTCTTCTTTTTTTCCTTTTTTTTTTTCCTTTTTTCTTCTTTTTTTTCCCCTCTTTTTTCCCCCTTTTTCTCTCTTTCTCTCTCCTTTTTTTTTTTTTTCTTTTTTTTTTTTTTTTTTTTCAACCGCTTTGATTAGGGTGATTTGTGGCCCTTTGAAGTTCAGGGGTGGGGGGGCGCGTTTTGTTCCTCCTAAAGTGCAGAATTTATAGGTGGGGGATTCTTCTTTCTTTTTCCCCCTATACGCGCTGCCCAAATATGGGATATTTAAGTGGCGTCACGTGACGGCGCCGGCCACTCATCAATTTGCCTTGATGACCCCGGGGCGGGTTATTGATGGGCGCCCGCGGAAGGCGCCGGGGGTGCGCGGGGGAGCGCGGGCGGAGCGCGCCGCGGGACGGCAGCGGCACCTAGCGCTGCTCCGCGGCACCGCACCGCCGCTCCGCGCCCCCCCGCGCACCGCCCCGCGGAAGGGGCTGCTGGAAGGGACGGGGGGGGGGGCGGAGGAGGGGGAGGGGGGGGATGCCAGCGCGCAAGCTGCGTCCGAGCTCCCTCCGCGCAGCGCTCCGCGATTTTCAAACAAAGTTTTTCTTTCTGTTTTTTTTTTTTTTTTTCCTTTTTATTCTTACGCGCAGTTTTGCACGCTTTATGTCTTCTGGCCCAAAATCGCAGCTGCGCGGGTGGTGGTGGGGAGAAACCTGGTTTCCTTTTTTCTCTTTTCGGTGGGTGCAAGCAGGAGGGGTAGCTCGCAGCGGCGCGTTACCTCCGCCGCATTTTGAATTTCTTTTTGGAATTCCACGAAGCGCTACCGCCTTGGTGGAAGGCGGCACATTCCCCGCGTTGTTCTCCGAGGTTTTGGGGAGCGGTGGCGGTCGGGGAAGCTCCTGAGATCTCTCCTCGCATAGAAGCTCCTCCGATGCGCCAAAGTTTACATTCCTGTTACCTTTCTCCCCCCCCCCGCCCCAACCCCCCAACCCCGCGCAATTTATTGCTGGCAGAAGCCTGGATCTTCCTTGTCTGGAGAAACCAGCCCCTCTCTTCAAAGGGCACGGCGAAGGGGAAATAAATACCTTCAAATCTGAATTTCCAGCCCTCCCTCCTGCTCCGGAGCAGGGCGGAGGGGGGGTGCGGGGGGAGACGGGCAGCTCCGAGCCCCCCCAGCCCGCTCCGGGCTTTGACTCGCAGACCTGAGCACGTTTTCTTTTTATTCCGTCTCCATTCAACAATGCCTTGAACGTGCCGGGTGTTACATATCGCCTTCCTCCTCTCTATAGGCGCTGAATTATATATGTGTGGTTGTGGATATATGTTTGGGTTTGGGTTTTTTGGTTTGTTTGTTTGGGTTTTTTTCCTTTTTTTTTTTTTTTTTTTTCTTTTTTTTGGAAATTCAAACTGATTTACACCCAGGGAGCCTCCTGCTCCCCGGCCAGGTCGTTGCCCTCTTGCAAAACGCTCTTGGCTTTTGCTTCTTGGTGCTGTTTGCTTCTTTTCTTTCCTTTTAAGAGAGATTTTTTTTTTTTTTTTTTCGTTTTCCCTGCGCCTTGCAAAAATCGCCTGCACATTCCAGGCTGGAGACGAGCAAACGATGGGCTGAAAAAACTCCCCAGGCTGCTATTTTTTTTTTTCCCCCTTTTTTTCTTTTCCTGGTTATGGTCATTTAACACCAAATCCTCGTTGTTTCATTAAAAAACTTGAAGGGGACTGAGCTGTTTCCAGGGAAATATCATCCCTGGCTAAGTGCTACCTACTGAACTGCCCAGCAAATATTAGAGCAGTGACAAAGAGGCGAGAAAAATGCAGGTTTTTTTATCCAGCCTTCGCAATGGTTTATCCGAGCCTGCGATCCACAGCAGCAGGGTTTGTTTCCCAGCGTTATATCCACAATTTCCGTTCTCCTAAGGATGAGTTTCTGGATAAAAGTGACTCTCCCCCCTCCCTGGAAAGGTTTAGTGGGTCGAAATAAGTCGGGGGGGGGGGGGGGAAGTGGGTCCTTCCGCAGAGCTGGGTGATTCTCAGCTGTGTAGAGCTCAAATTAAATCAAAATAATAAAAAAGAAGCAGCAGAACCTTTGACCTGGTATTTGACTGAGGAGGGTGCAATAAGAAATATATACTGTTTTGAACTTTGGAAATCCATTTTTAATCATGAAGCGAGAGGTATGGCATAGATTCCTGATGCCACCGAACAATACAGTAACAAGACTAATTCAAGGAGACAAAGCAAAATGTATTTCCCCCCCCCTTTTTTTTTTTTTTTTTTTTTTTTTTTGGAATACTCTTGAATGAGAGAGGTACGAAGGAGGGAGAAAAAGGAGAGAGGGAGCTGATTTTCAGGAACAACACACAGAAGATAAGTGAACTTTCTAACAGGCTGTTATCAACACGAAAGGTTTCAACTGAATCTCAGAGGCCATTCTATAAACTTTAAAAATAATATTCAGTTTTTATTAAATACTCAACATAGTCCTCTGGACATGACCTTTATACATGAGAGGGTGTAACACAAGATTTTTTTTTTTTTTCTTTTCTACTGCTATAGAACTCCATTCACTTTATACTGTGGAACATTACAGTGCTAAACATAAATATAAATACAGGTACCACAAACACAGTTAAAAATATTCACACAGAAACTGTCACAGTTTGTAGTATGCAGTGATGAGCCCAGGTATCTGCTTAAATACAAGGAGGATGCTCTTGGAAATGCTATATTTAGGTGGAAGGAGCTTTCTCAGGGAAATCAGATTTTTCACCAGGGGAGGAAGAACTGCTCTGGCTGGGGGGAGGAGAAGCGACTGGGCAGAGTCCGACCCGGCACAGCGGAGGGTGGATGCCCAATTTTTTTTTTTTTGGGGGGGGGGGGAGGTGGGTAGGCGGAGGGATGGGGGAGGAGGGGGGGGAGTGTGCGGCTTGAAACAGTCTTATCCCGAGTTAGATAAATAGGCGATGGCGGAGATGCGTGTGCGGGGTGGGGGGTCACTGGGGAGAGCGGGGAGGGGGGGACTGTGTAGCAGTGGGGAGGGGGTGTCCACATTTCCACCTTAGACCTTATTTTTTTAAATCACTCCCCCCCTCCCCATTATTATTATTATTATTATTATTATTTTTTATTCCTTTTTTTTTTTTTTTTTTTTTTTTTTTTTAACGTAGCCAAACATTGTGCCAGTGATAAATACGGGGTGGGGCGGGGACGGGGGGGCCGGGGGGGGATCCTGCCGCCGAGCTGTCACTTTTTCACTCCTTCTGCTTCTCCTCCTCTGTCTCTTCTCGCTTCTCCTCCTTGGCCAAGCTGTCGGCGGCGGCGGCCGCGGCCCCCCCCCCCGCCCCGGAGAGGGTTGAACTCAAATTACTTTCTTTTTTCCATTTCATCCGCCGGTTTTGGAACCAGATTTTAATCTGCCGCTCCGTCAGGCAGAGAGCGTTGGCGATCTCGATCCGCCTCCGCCGGGTCAGGTACCGGTTGAAGTGAAATTCCTTCTCCAGCTCCAAGGTTTGATACCGGGAGTAAATCTGGCGGCCCCGCCGGCGGTCGGCCCCGTAGCCCACTCCTAGGGATGCCGAGACAAAACAGACTAAAAATCGTCAGCCCGGTCGCAAGCGGACGGGGGGGGGAACACGACACCCGCACCCGCGCAACCCCTCCGCCCCCGCGCAACCCCGCGCCCGCCCCGCTCCTCCTTCCCCACCCCCCGGCCGCCTGCCCCCCTCCTCAGCACCCCCCCACCCCCTTGAAAAAAAAAAAAAAAAAAAAATCCAAATATCTCTATTTTGGGATGAAATGAACGCAGTGCGTGCAGCATTTTCTCCCGGGTCATTTTCTCCCGGGATGCTGCTCCCGCCCCCCCCCCCCCCCCCGCCCGCCCCCCCACTTCTTTTTCCCACATTATTTCTGCCAATTGGAGGATTTGGGGGAGCCGGGAAAGGCGGGGGGGGGGGGGGAAGTGGCAGCTTCCCCCGGCCCCTCTTCGTGCGGGGAAGCCGCCACCACCGCACTTCCCGCACCCGTCATTAAAACTTATTTTTACCCCGGTAATATTTTGTGCTTAACTCCCGAGCAGAGCTCGCTGCACTTTATTATAGATATTTTACACTCTCGAAGTCTTTTAATTAGAAAGAGCATAACAAGCCATATTTGCTTGCAACAACTTAACAAATAAAAGGCCTGTAGCTGCAACTGTGAAGGAGCTATATTATTGTTTTTATGGGGCCATAAAAAGTCGCTCAGCCTGTTCTGCTAGGGAGAAGGTCGTAAAGATGGTTCAGTTTATTTAATTTATATCTCCGAGCTGTAAAACTTACCACTGTGGGAGTTCATACGCTGCATCCATGGGTATATTTGAATGCTAGTTTTTTGTTCTTGCGAAGTGTTCCTGTTTTGGTCACTGGTAAAATCCTGTGCGATTGATGTCTGTGTATTATGTCCCATAGAATTTTGCCTGCAGCTAGAAAGCATGTCTTTTTCTTGGTAAAAAGCATTAGATCCATAGTCATAAGGTCCTCGGCTGGAGCTAAACACAACATTATCTTGCGGTGAATAAAAAGGAGAAGAATAAATCCGGTTTTGAGCAACGGCTGCTCCATAAGTAGAAAAATGCCTGACAGGGTCATAGGCAGTTGAATTGAGGGCTACGTTGGGAAGCACCTCTTGGCCACTGGTTAGATGGCAGGATAAAGATGGGTTTGTAAAATAGGAATTCATATCGTCCTCTATACCTGGCTGTGTGATTTCTTTAATATTTATTTCTGTCTCCAGTTTGTAGTCTGAACTAGATTGTTATAGGGAAGGCTCTGCTCCAGGACAGACAAAATGACAAAGTCAGCTGACCCGGGGGGAGCCAATGGGGAGGCGGGTGTCAAAAAGGGAAAAAATTGCTTTTGCTTCTGTTGATTCCCTAGTTGAAACTAAGTGGGCATGGAAAGTAAGTCCTGCACCCCCAAACCCCCCCCAGCACCCCCGGGGTGCCGCGGGATGGGGAGGATGCGGTGGGGAGGGGAGCGCTCCCGGAGCCGGGGCTGGGGGTCCTGCCTGGGGAGGCAGCTGGGCTGGAGGGGGGGGGGGGGGCCCAAATTTCTTAAGCCAGGCTTAACTTTTCCTTCCCCCCCCCCCCTCCCCGCCTTCATCCCCCTTTTCTGCTAATGGACACTGGGGTTTGGAAGCACCGTCTGTGTGTCTGTGCATTATGTTGCTTGTGTTTTGTTTTTGTTGTGGTGTTGTGTTTGTTTTTTTTTTTTTTTTTAAAGAAATGTTTGCTTAATATCTTGTAATAAAATAGCTCAGAATTCACAGTAATAAATCTCAGATGTCCACAGAATATTAAGCCATAAATTACCCTCCTTTTTTTTTTTTTTTTCTTCTTGTTCTCTCTTGTAGCATTGGTCAATATTATGGAATCAAATGGTTGTGTTCCTGATGAGAAAATATTACATAAAGAGAGGGGGGAAAACATGGCGACTTCTGAATTGATAACGTGTTTCAGAACCTTCCCAAAGTATGTCTTGTGGAGGGGAGAGAAAAAAAAAAAAGACATCCAGAAAAGCAACACCCAACATTGCAAACTCACGTTAGCCTGGAAGTTAGATTTCTCCTCCAGTTTGACATTTCTCCCCTCAAACGCTTCCCTGCTAATTTTCAGTGCTGGAGGATATTTACATTTTCAACAACAACTACAACAACAGGAAAAAAAAAAAAAAAAAAAAGAGAGGATTTCTATTTGTGATGGAGAGCAATGAGGAGCCTGGGCTGGGGACGCAACCTCGTGTTTGTGTTTGCAGCAATTTGTAGTTGCAGATATTTACAACTGATTGGGAAACTTCTATTGCAAATATTTAGTTAGATGAAAGGGGGGATTATATTCTATCTTCTCTGGGTAGATTGCACCTAGAACTAATTGAAATGAAGACAGCTAATCTAATTTTAATTTCAATCTAGTGCCATAAATTGCCCCTTAAATGTAAAACATACCTGCTGATCTGTAAATATTGCGAGGTATCTTTATCATTCTGGTGGCTTGCTATTTAAAAATTCAATTATGGCAGGGAAACCCTGGCCTCCTCTGTGTGGTTTTTTTTTTTTTTAAACCTCCACCGTGTCCACGTTTTTATTTTAAATGTGAGGGTGCGGGGGGCTGGGGAGAGGAAGGTTTGTGGGTGCACACTCAAATTCAAAAGTGAGAGTATTTGTTTGTCTTGCTCTCAATCAATAGACTTAATTCCTTTTTTAGCGATGTATCCCTAAAAGATTTTAGCTGACAAAGAAGGGTTGGGGGGTGTGTGTATATTTTTTCCCCAGCTATAACAGGAACCCGGATGCCAACGGATTTTATGCTCTTTTTCCTCTGTGTAACAAAGCAAAGTAATCAATGGTAGCAATAAAACCATAAACGAGACTACAACTGAAAAAAAAAAGCTCGTGTATTCATCTTCTATAACGTTAAGGCTTCCCCTGAGTGTCACTAGGGGAAAAAATAAAGTTTCTAACCAAAAAGGAGATAGCTGGAAGTGTGCACCATCTTATTTAGCATATGTACCTTGGTGGGGAGCGCAGCCTGGCTCCCACCTCAGGCTGCCCAACTTGGAGCCAGCCTGGTACAGATATAAGACTCATGGACATGGGGACGATTTCCAGGTGGTTTCCCCCCAAAAAAGCGAACTTCAGTGTATTTGCGTTGCCCTTTTCTCCCTTTCCCCAGAGCCTGCCCGGGGATTTCTGGAATCAAAGAAAGAGGCGAAAATAAAGAAACTAGGAAAGAAATGCGATTACTGAGGGGTATTATTTATTTTTTATTATTTTTTTTTTTTCTCCGCCTTCTGCTGAGCTGTTAAACCCCCAGCCAGGGGCACTCTCAGCTGGACAGATCTGGAGAGCCAGGGCTGTGTTGCAAATATTATTAGCCATGGGCACATCTTCCCTGAGCCCAAGTCCTTGCAGGGCAGGGTTCCTTTGGAAACCACCCCTGGCCAAGCAAAACTGCGCCCAGACATGAAATTGTTGCAAAGGGTCCCACAAATGGACTGGAGGGAGAGATGGATGAAGGAGGGCTTTGCAGTTATTGGCGTGTTGTCTTACCTTAGGTATTGCTTACAGCCCGGTGTAATTTGGCGAGTAAATTAAAAGTAGCAGCAGCTGGATGGGCTGGACCTTTGCTAGGGCAGACTGGCGTGGGGAGATGCACCTATGGAAGGGCACTTACACCCCCGCCAGCCTTGCCCAAGTTTGGAGGAGTTTCTGCAAGGTCTCCTTCTAGTTAGTTGTTTGGTTGTGTTTTTTTTTTTTTTTTTTTGTTTCCCTTGGTAATTATTATTTTTATTTTTTTATTATTATTTTTTTGCTTCCCCCCCCTTTTTTTTTTCCTTTTTTTTTTTTTTTTTTTTGTATAGGTGCTCGGGGGCTGTTGTATCGGAGACCTGTGTGATAACCGTGTGACTAGGAGTCGAGAAAGTTAAGTGTTTTATTACTTCTCTAAACAGAGGGCAAGTCTTAAAAGTCTGGTCGATTTATAGTGAACAGAAACCAGCTGCTGTAGAGAAACTTAAAATAGAATCCTCTCCCCACGTTAAAAATCAGGTTTCTGGGGAGAAAAGGGAGAGAAAGAGGAGGGGGTGAAAAAAAAAAAATAGAGCACAACCACCCCAAAAGCTCCTGCAAATCCAAATGAGGCACCATTAAAGTATGTTTTACTCATTGCAATTCCTCAGCCTCACGTTTTGAATGCACTGGATATTTTTTTTTTTTCCCCCCATTGATATTTTCTAGCAGTTTGGGGATTTCTCGAAAGTATTTCATCAAGATATGTCACTACCAAAAAGGTATTTATTTTTTCCCCCATGAAAACATGTAGAGGGAATATGTGGGGCGCTTTCTGGTTAAATTGGTCTGCAAACAATTATGTAAACTCATCAGCAGAAGCAAGAACAGATGTTTTATTAAAAGTGCTACACAGCAGTAGAAATATGTACAAGTCTTCGAGTAGCTCTTTAATAGGAGTTGCTCTTTGTTCCCAGAAAAGAAAAGCGCCCATAGAAATCTGAAATAACATTCACCACTCATAAGCCATATTTCGCCCCCCCCCCCCTTTTTTTTTTCTTTCTCTCCCCCCACTGATGCTCACACAGAGATTGGGGGGGGGGGGCGGGAATAGAAAGAAAAAATACGTGTCGGGAAATTTCTTCCCCCCTCCCAGCTATAATTAGCAAATTGATGAACTGATTTAGGGAAAAAAAAAAAAAATGCAATCCCAACACATGTGTTTTCTATCCCTCAGTAATTACTGAAAGGAAACAAATCCAAATCGGTGTCCCCCCCCTGCCCCCCCCCGCGAGCAGCCTGCAGATACCGCTACTGGCTCTGCAGCCGCTCGGGTGGCTTTTTTTGGTGGAGGGGGTGAGGGGGTTTCCTCTTTTCTTTCCAGCCACGTTGCCCACTTGGGGCTGACCCCAACGTGGGGCAAGAAACCGGGGGTGTTTGTCCCCCTTCTTTATACCCACGCGTGTCGTGGTCGGGGGTTGGGAGGTGCCCGCCCGCCCGGGGCTTGGAGCTACAACATGCCCCCCCCTACACTTCAAAATTAAAATTATTCAAGAAGGGTGAGGGTGTTTTTTTCTGTAAACTGCTGCAGAAATGTCTCTTTTGGGAGGCACTAAGTGGGGGGAGGACGACGGACACCCTTAATCTTCGCCCCCCACCCCCCCAGTGCCCACACCTATGCGTGTGCAAGGCACACGCACCCACGCACACCCCTGACATCTGGCCATAAAGCTGCGCGCTCACATCTGATTAAATACTCGAAGCTCTTAGAGGTAAATACAAGTGATGCCATTAAAAGCCTTTTTATTTAAACTGATTTCACCTTGTATCTGAGATCTCTGCCTCCCCCCCTCCCCTTTGCCTTTTTTTTTTTTTTTTTTAACTTGACATTTATGGCACACGTGAGTCCTAATTATTTATTTGGGTCTTTCGCTGGGAATTTATTCCTGCTCTTTACAACAGGGTTTTCCTAGTCAAATATTGCTTTTCGCTGTAAATAACGCTTTAAAAAAATAATAATAAAAAATAAAATAGGGATAACAACACCCTCAAAAAGAAAAAAAGGGGCAACAGAATAACAACAACAAACTCTTGGAGGTTTATGTGGAGGTTTATTTACCTCTCCCCCAGCCTGAAATGGCTCGCATTGTTTTGGAGCCGTCTCTATTCTCTATAATTACAACCTCAGAGTCAGAGTCTGGGCAGCCCTTAATTAAAAAAAAAAAAAAAAAAAAAAAAAAAGAAAGAGAGATGAAATCTCTCCTTCCCCTGAATACTTTTATTCAGAGCTTCACACACTATTTAAAGTTTTATTCCAGCGCTGCAGACACCGCGTTTGGAAGAGGGTGGCCTATTTGGGAGGTTTATTTGCTAATTTAAAAGACATTTTCTGCACCAAGATGCACAAAGCATTAATAAGCGAAAACACTCATTTTCCCCCCATATCTTTCCAAGAAGAGGGGCTGAAAAAAAATACACCCAGCGCCGTTTCTGCTATTTTTTTTTTTTTTTTTAATTCAAACCTCCGCAAACCCCTTTTTTTCGCCCTAGGTGGATAAAGAAGAGAATTTACCACCCTGTGTATCACCCGTAGAGTTGCCCAGACAAGACATTGCTTTGCTTTTTCCTATTGATTTTTTTATTTTAATTTTGTGCGTGGTGGAGGGAAATGGCCTTAAACGTGTTCTTGTTGCTTTTATTTTATTCTCAGAGTTGCTTTAGGAAAGTGCACCAAAAGTTCAGGACGAGTCCCTTCAAGTTGCAACGCTCCACGCAAAAAAAAAAAAAAAAAAAAAAAAAAAATTAATAACAATAATAATGGGGGGGGGGGGGGGGAAGATTTTTCTCGCTTGCAAAACCTCTCAGTCGCTGCACACATTTCCAGGGGTTGGAAGGTAAAGGGAAAAAAAAAAAAAAAAAAAAAAAAGAGAATTCTGGCAATTGTCAAAACACATGTCTGCTAACCAGGAAACCGGGAGGTGTGTGGGGAAGAGAAATTAATCTGTTCCTACTTCTGAAATTTATCCCCCTTTCTTTCTGCCGAGGCTTGAAAGCGCTTTCTGACACTTTTAAGCGTTTATTTAGGTTTTTCCCCGCGTTGGTATCGCGACGGGACGAAGCTCTTAATTCTCAAATATTCTTTTTAATACGGGGGGTGGGAGGGGTGGGGGGGAGGAAGAGGGTTGATTTATTTCATTATTTTTCTCCTTCCCAGATTTATTGGCGAATCTCAGCCCAACAAAAGAAGGCAGCACCGAAATCTCCCCGCGGAAACGGGACTTCGCTGGGTCTTAAATTACCAAGTAACCACGTTGCAAAAAAGTTAACAGCAGCGAAAAAAAGCAGGGGGAGAACCCCCCCTCCCCTGCAACACAGCCTCAATTAAATTTAATTTGCTGATTAAATGCGCTTCTGAATAAATCTCATCAGCGCTAAGTCAGGGGAGCCCCAAAAAAACGAGAAAAAAAAAAAAAACCAAACACTATTATTTTAGGGGATGTAAAAGCGCGGAGTGGTGCTTTGTTTATAGGGAGGTGTCTGGCGGCTGCGGAAACATTCCTGGTGGTTCCTGGGCTAAAAGTGGGGAGAAATGGGGTTTTTTAATTCAACTGAATCCAGGAGAACACCTTTTTTGCCTCCAAACCTGCTCAGGTAGCAGGTAGCAACTTTACCGGGGGAAAGAAAAAAAAAAAAAAAAAAAAAGAGAAAAGAAAAAAGCCTTCCAGCTTTTAGTTAATATATATTTTTTTTAATTTGGGTCTCCTTTCATGTTGGAGTGGAAATATTCCTTAAAATTAAAAGAGGCGAAAAAATGACAGTGGCGCTCATGACGTCACACCCGTCACGGACAAGACTTCATGGCTTAAAATTCTAAAAGGCGACATTTTGCTGCACACACGTGTGTATCTACATGTATCTCTATATGTACATATATGTGGAGGTGCAATTACTTTGCGGGGTGTAGAGATTAAAAATAAAAAGGAGTGGGATGTTATTACGTTCTGCAAGGATAACTCAGGAGTGAAAAATTGTTGTCATTAACTATAGGCAGTTTTATCCTTTATTCTTTGCAGATATGAAGGCAGAAATTTAATCATAGGTGGCTCGGAAAAAAAAAATAATTCAGGAAACAATAATAGTTTCCTTAATGATGTTTTTTTTTAGAGGCGATCACTTAGGCAGAATTAAACTATATATTTGGAGACAACCTCTTGAGCACTTTGTTGAATTTATACATTTACATCGTCTTTAATCGAGCAACAATTTAATATTTCAGGATTTGCTTAAATACACTCATATTTTCAGGGGGAAAATACCGTTCCCGAGCTGACATGCCTTATCTATTTTTATGAGTTCACGTACATTGGGATGATTTAAACCCCGGTAACACGAAACGAAAGGAATAAAAAAAAACCCAAACCCCAAAACCGCCTTGAATTAGCAGAAAGTGCAAGTGAGGAGTTTCAAATGGCTTTGGGAAACTTGGCGAAGTTTGTGGCCGTGGAGGGGGCCGGGGGGGGGACACACGCCTCGGTGTTAAAGGTTCTCAAACTTCTTTGCAAAGTGACTTTTTTTTTTTTTTTTTTTTTTTTTTTTAGAATGGCAGGAGAAGGTTTTGCAGGGCTTTGCACCCTTTCCTAGGCGGGGGTTTCCTCTCCCCACCTCAGCCCCTGTCTCCCACCCCCCTGCAACACCCCCCCCGCCGCAATTACACACACAGACAGAGGGGGGGTGGGGGGAACGAAGAAAAGTCACCAAATTGCAAAAAATTGCAAGTTTCTGTCACTTGGTGGCAGTATACAAAACAAGTAAACAAAAACGGGCCGAAATTTAAACACTCGAAGCGGGGGACAAGGCGACGGGGGGGCCCCACCTGTGGGACAAACCCCCGTCCCCCCGCACCCCTTGGACCTCGTCTGGCGGGCGATTTTAAGGGGGTTTACTTTTTTTATTTTATTTTATTTTGCGTTGGGGTTTAGTGGTTTCTTTTTCTTGTTTTTTTTTTTTTTTTTCCGTTTTTTTTTTTTTTTTCCGCCTTGCTCTCAGTCTCTCTCCTCCCCCCCCCCCGCCTTTTATTTTTCCCCTCTCCGCCCCCCATTGAAACGCGGGGTCTTTAGTCTGGGGACAAAGACTTTTACAGCAAGGTGTGTCCCCATGCGACAAAGGCGACCCGAGCAGCCTGTCCCCTGCAGACTGCGTCCAGACACCCGCAATTTCGGGGATTTCTGTATTTTATTGTGTTTGTGTCTGGGGAGGAATGGGGGGGGGGGGGGGGGGCGGCGGGGGGGAGACGGGGCCGCTTTTCGTCTTCCTCCTCCCCAGCATCTTCCTCCCCCTCCGAGGCTGGAGGTCACGCTGTCCTCTCCCCCCACCCCCCCTCCGTAAAAAATTGTCTTCTTCAAATTTGGGGGTGCTTCTGCCCCGAGTGCCTCCCTTTTCCTCCAAAAAATCCCGAGCCCATACTTCAGCTCCCCGCTGCCACCCCAAACCCGATGGGGAAAGGCCTTATTTTTTTAATATTTAAGATTTTTTTCAGCCCTGACCTCAGACACTAGCACTGAAAATTGATTTATTTTTTTTCACCCCTTTTTCTCCATTTTGTTCCGGAGAGAATGAGCTGCAGGGATTAAACCCCTGCCAACAATAGTAACAAGATCTCCAACTATCTCTTCCAAAAAATAAATTTCTTGATCCCTCAATGTTACGCATCATATTTTCCCAAAGTGTATTTCCCCCTCTATGACTAATTTTTTTATCTCCCCTCGACTTTTCTCCACATGTCGAGCTTCGCAAATTTATCTCTCAAAGAAAAAAAAAACAAACCCAAACCCAAACAACAACAACAACAAAAAACCCACAAAAACAAAAACAAAAAACAACCAAAGCCCTTTGCTGCACAAAGCTCCGGGTAGAAATACAGCTCCCCCAAAATCACATTTATTGGGGAAATAACCACAAAAATACGGACCCCCATCACAAATCGATCTGAGCATCACCACGTTCCCCGCTCACACCTAACGCCGCTGGCGGTTGCCTATAGATATATATCATATATTATTTCTGGTGGGTTTGGTGAATTCGTTTCCCCAAACCGAAATTCCTTCACACGACGAGTTGGGAAATCGCTTCTTTCTAATAATTTCTTTGTAGTTACAGGTTTTTCCAGGCTCTTGCAACACGGCGGATTTGACATAATAAAACACCCACACGTTCATGCTCTGTATTTATATATATTTGATCGTAACACGCTTTTAGAGAAGCTGAGATAAACGCCCACGCGCGGGGAAGATCGTATCAAAGGGTTTATGGTCGGGTATATCTGTGCGAGATGTGTACGCGTTCAAATCAAATGGAAAATCCTCTTGTTGCACAGATTGTGTTTACGTCCTTCATAAATTCGTACTCAACACCTCGGAATAAAACGCCCCTATAAATATATTAGGAAGCATTTGGGACAGGGGAATTACCACTTAAAAATTTCTGTAGGCTCCTGATTTTATTTTATTTTTCTCCACCGACTACATCTGTCGAGGAAAATCTATTATTTCCCGAAACATCATGTCAATAACACGTGGCAATTTTCCTATAATCCCTGATGTTACAGATACAAGCAGCGATTTATTTCCTCTGCTTTAAACCGGGATAAAAAAAAAAAAAAAAAAAAAAAAAAAAAAAGAAAGAAAACATCTCAGAGAATATAAATCATTCCGTTATTCTAGCTCTACATCCTAAAAATGTTTCTCAGCATTGCGAGTGTCTGAAGGATGACAATACGTCAAGGGAAAGGAGAAAATCAATATATTTTAAAGTTGTTTTGGGGGGTTCCAGGCCTGGCGGAAGGTTTAATGTGGGGCGGCGGTGGGAGCATCCCGGCGCTGATGGGAGCCGGGGCTCGGGGAGGGAGAGCAGACGGATTTCAGGCTGAAAACAATAAAAGATCCCATTTCTGTAATCATGTGGTTCCAATAAACACTCATTGTTTGCTCATAAAATGTCTTTACGACTAGCCGCGGTACAGGCAGAGCCTCCACACAACGGGATTTTCCCAGCGAACAAAACCAAGGCAAAACTGTCTCTTTCCCTCTTTTTTATTTCCCCGCATCCCATCCCCGAACCCTTTATTTACTTCATGCTTGGAAAATAAAAATAAATGGGCGAACCGCCTGTTGTCTCGAAGACAACGCTCTGCAAAACCGGAATAAAAAATTCCCTTTTCAGGGGAAGGGGAACGTCAGCGCTCGGTTTTGTTCAGCCGATAATTTCCAGCCCCAAAGGCAGGCGCAAGGATTTACCAGATTTCTCAAAGGAAAAGGGAAACCAACTTTGAAAACTTGTCCTTTTTTTTTTTTTTTTTTTTTTACTCCCCCATCCATATCTCTATTTATTTATTTATTTATTTATTTATTTCCCCCCCCCAATTAAATGTAAGACACCGCCACCAGAAGCCACCCCAGAACTTAATAAACCGCTTTTGCTAATTCACCTCTACAAACGCGCGCTGGAAATTAAAATCGAGGAGGCCATTTTTCTTTAAAAACCACCAGAAAACAACAACAGCACCACCAAAAAGAGCAGCAAGGCAGAAAGCGCGGAGCCCCCTCGGCCTCCAGCTCCCCCCTTTCCTCCCCCAAATCCCCCCTTCCTCAGACGGCCCCGCTGGCCACACTCTGGGGACCCCCAAAATCGCTTATAATAAGCCAGAAAATTGCCATCGCCTCTGCCACCCCTCCCCCACAGGGTTTATTTAATGTCCGCCCCTATATATGTATACATCCTGCCCTATACGTGCACGGGCTGGCAGCGCCAACAGCGAATCTCTGCTCATACACACGCTCCTTATTCTTATTATTTATTTTTTTTTTTTTTAACCACCGAGGATTGATCAGGAAAGAGAAAGAAATACAACCGCGAGAGGAAATGAAGTCACTACATTATATATAAATATATATCTCTCTCTTTACACGGCACCGGTATATACAGGGAGATAGATCAGATTAGATGATGGATGGGTAGGTGGGGAGGTAGGTGGATGGATAGGTAGATGGGGAGGTTAGCAGGGGAAGGGTCACGCTTTAAATCTCACCCGTTAAACCTGAATTAAAGTTGCTGGAGGAAAGGGGAAAAAACCCCATCTAATAATAATAAAAATAAGGGAAAGGGGAGGGACTTGCATGCAAATAAAATATAAAAGCCAGCACCGTGTTAACCACTTCGCAGGAAAACCAGCGCGCTCCTGAAAGTTATTAGTGTGATTATTTTTTTACGACACAGAGTTTGGTTCAATTGCTCCTTTGCAAGGGGGGGAAACTGCATAAAATTCCATAAAATTCAATAGAATTCCATAAAATTCAATAAAAGCCCCTTTTCCGGAGAACTTTCCACCCGCCCGGTTGCAAAAAGCGAATAAAAGGGGGAGCTCTTGGGATGCAAAGAGTTGATTGTTAATCAGCTCGCCGCTTAATATTAATTATTGCCCCGGGAGCGAAAGCGCGCAGCCCCGCGGAAGAGGCGCAGGCCGCGGCCGGCGGCGCCGGGGCTGGGGGGGCTGCGGGGGGGGCGATGGGCGTGCAAGGCCGGGCCTCGCGCACACAATTAGCAGCGCAGCTCATTAATTATGGCACGACCAGCAGCCTTGGACGCCCCACCCGAGCTGCGCCGGGCCGGCCCCTCCGCGCATGCGCTCCCCCCCCCCCTTATTTATTTTTTTATTTTTTTTTTTTTTTTTAAGGAAAAGTTAGGAGGATTCATTTTCCATCTCCTATATATTTTCCTTTTTTTTCCTCCCTCCTCTCCCCTTCCAACGCGCCCCCACCCCACAACCCCATCCCCCCCCTCTCCCCATCCCCCGGCGCCCCCCGACCTGCCTCCCCGCACCCCGAATATGACATCAGCAACAGCAAATCTTTTTTTTTTTTTTTTTTTTTTTTTTTTTTTCCCCGAATTAACTGCATTTCTGCCGCCCCGCAGCAGCCTTCCCTCATATCCAAGCTACACCCCTCGCTCGCACAACGATGCATCATTATCCTTAACACCCGGGCTATGGATCATTAGTTACACATTTTAACCAATAAGGGAACACTTACCAGAGGCTCCTGTCTCCCCCTCTCCCTCTCTCTCACTCTCTCTCTCTTTTTTCTCTGTCTCTCCCTCTTTCTGATCCACTGACGCTGCAGCTCAGCTCCACAGAAACATTAAAAAAAAAAAAAAAAAAAAAGGAAAAGAAAAAAAAAAAAAGGGAAAAAAAAAAAGAAAAAAGACGGAAACAAAAGCAAAACAGTTCTTCTCTGGTTGGGCAAGGGATGGGGGAAGCTGAAGGAGGAATCTGTCTCTCTCTGGGGTTTGCTTTTTTTTTGGGGGCTTAAAAAAAAAAAAAAAAAAAAAAAAAAGGTATTTACAACTGCTTGTGCCCCCTCATCATCGCATCCTGCGAAGGAAATGCATTGCGTTTTGCCCCTAGGGGTGGGGAATAGGAGGCGGCAACCAGACGCAGCAGTAAACTCATTAATGCCAAAATGCCCAAAGCAACCAAGAATTCCAACCCCAAGGAGACGGGGAGGGGGGTCAAAAAATCGAGATTTTTTTTTTTTGGAGCAAAAAAAAAAATCCTCCTCCTCATCATCACGCTAATAATTAAGGGGGGGAAAAATACCATCCTACCCCTGGCACTGCTTGGACTGTTAAAGGAAAGACTACTGCGAAAGAGTCATAAGAGAAACCACAATAAAAAGTTCACGTTCATGGATGGAGTCCACATGACTTCCTGTGGCCAATCCAACTTGTGATTCAGTCGTAAACTTTTATTGCTCAGCTGTAAATTTTCTGCAAACAACCAGGAATGCGTTGCATTTTTTTGTGACGAGTGCAAATGCTCTCGTCTGTCGCCATGTTTATACAATTCTGCTTTAATATTAGGATTTTTTTTTCTCTCTACGCCCCCCCCTCTTCACTGTCCCCCCTTTTTTATCTTCTAAGCCACCGCGTTAATATAAGGGAGGGTGGATTTCTTCTTTTTTTTTTTTTTTTTTTCTTTTAAAGATAGATTCGGTTTAATTTTATGATTATTAGCTGCTCGCGTTAATTCTCAGCATTTTTTTTTAACTAAGGAGATTTGGCCTTTAGCGCTGAGCGTTATTAGTCTCCGTGTTGGGAATTAATTGGGGGGGAGGAAATAGGGAAACATCGAGGAAGAAGGACAGTGGAGATAGAAATGGAGCACACTGGGTTTGAAAAATAAATACTTTAAATGACGAGGGCATGTTAATTTTAAAAGCATTTAATTAATAATCAAGGACAATATGCTCGAGGAAAAAAATAAGAAAAATGGCTATTTCTGACCACCCCGGATTTCCCCGCCAGCCCAAAGGGTGTGTCCGCTGCAAATGAAACCTTCCCAGGGCAAAAAAATGTCCCTCCCCACCTTTTTCCCCCCCCTAAACCTCCCCATTCCCCCCCCCCCGCCCCACTCCATCCCCGCGCACCCCGCAGCGCCCAGTCTGCCTAGCCCAGCCCGGGCGGGGGGGCACCTGGAACTGCCCAAATTACACCCAAAACTTGAGCCAAAGGCGCAGTATTGACCCAGAAACTCTTGCAGCCCCTTTACTAAATTCCCTAAACCCACCCAGCTTTATGATTTGCTGTTGGGACACCTACATACATGTTTTTAAAGCACTTCAATCTTTTTTTTTTTTTTTTCCCTTATGCTATTTTTCCTCCAGGAAGCCCCCCCCGGCCTTTTGTTTTATCACGCCACGGGGCCAGGGATGCGCTGCTTGATAAAAAGCGAAATTTTTTTTTTTTTTTTTTAAGCTCTTTGATTTTTTTTTCTTTTTTTTTTTTTTTTTTTTCCAAGCCGGGGGGGGGTCCGTGTAGACGGCTGGGAAATATTGATTTGGAAGGGGAGCGACATTTTTGTGCCGTGTAGAGGCCTGCTTTGGAGGCACCACGCGAACCACAACTGGTGTAAATAGGCAACCGCAAAGCCCAGCCTGCTCAGATGGGCTCCTCCACATTAAACCCTGCAAGGAGCCGCCTTTCTGCTCTTCTTCTCCTTCTGGAAAGAGATTTTTCTTTTTTTTCTCCCACCCCCCCAATCCCAAATTTCAGCTCCCAGGGCCACGCACGCACCGCACTCCTGCAGCCAGAAAAATTAGGAAGATAAAATATTTTGGCGCAACCTTTCCTACCCATTTCCCTCTGTACCCGCGCACTTCCAGGGACAGCACCATTTTTTTTTTTTCCCCAGGTATTTCCGCGCCTTAATTTAATTTTAATTGAGGAAAATAAAAGAAGGGGGGGGCGTGAAGGGGAGGGGGGGCTCTCACTCCCTGCCTCTTTAATTTATTTATTTTTTCTCCCCCTGGCTGGATGTGTGTCTGTCTGCCCAAACAACACAAAGGTTGTAATACAACCGGATGGAAGGGAAATTACTTTATTCACTTTACAAACCACCAATAAATTTTATAACAGGTAGTTAAAAGTTACGAGGGGGGAAACTACGACCACAACAGCTTCCCGAGCACAATGGAGATCCCATTTTCCAGAGAGCAGACAAGATAATAAATTCCATAATGTGAGGAGGAAATTTTGATCCTGGCAGGCAGAAAGTAACCTGGGCGCACATTTGCTAAAGAGGATTTTGGACGATCGTTTTGCTCCTTCCATCTGTCCCCCCTCTCTAAAACCACTTCCCCTCTCCCAATATTAGGGAGGAGGATTTTTTGGGGGGGGGGGTGTGTGGAATAAAAGACCTGTGAATTTGAGGGGGGGGGGGAAGTCTGGGAGGAAAAAATAGGATGAACTGAAAAAAAAAATAATGGGGCAGAATTGCCTTTTTTGTACAAATCTAGCCCACAAAGTTTCCCCCACCTCCGCCCCCGCGCATCTTCCTCCCCTCCCTCCTTTCTCGTCTCCATCCGCGCAAAAAAAATTTAATGCCCGAGAAATTCGTTGTCTCTCAAATATAATCCGTGCCCATTTCGGAGTATAAAATCTAAACGAATTTTTTCGCCTAATGGCTGCATTATCGCACGGCGGCGGCTGTGATTAGAATAATAAATTAAGGGAAAATAAGCAATATGCTCAAACTCAGCTTTTCGAGGAATTATATTTTTCACAAATCACAAATGGAGATCCGAAGGAAATTTGATTGGCTAATAAAAAGCCTGGAATAGGACGATATTTCTTACTTCAGGCGGGTAGATGAGTCTAATTTCAGTAATACCGAAGCTATGATCATTTCTGAATAAGCCACTTTGTGGAGAGCGAATCTTCTTTCAAATTACTTTCCCCCATAAAATGGTCTCTTCTCTTTTTCTCTTGAAATGATGGAGTGATTACAGAAATAACTGGATGTCATCTGAAGATGCGACTCTCTTGTGTTGACTACAGAACATAAACATTTACCCCAAAACTAACTGCTGCGGCTGTAGTTTCAATAATTTAACTCCAGACCCTTTTGATAGATAAATGTCATTCTGTAGTATTCGTTCGGATAAAACTACTTAGATTTGTAGATTTAAATATGATGGATAGAGTGCGGATGCAGCTTCTTTTTTTTTTATTATTATTATTTTTAAACACTTTGATAAGTTCTCCCTCTCCTTCCCCCCTCGTTGAGAGGATATTTTCTATGCAAAGCCTTTACCACGTTTTTTTTTTTTCTTTCTTTTTTCTTTCCTTTTCTTTTTTTATTTTTTTCTTATGGAATATAACAGAAAATATTTTATTTTCACCGATTTCTGCGGATTTTTTCATCGCTGGAATGAATGAGCACACATCCATCCTATGATGCCAAACGGGAGGGGGAGAAAAAAATAAAACCCCCCTTGCTGTAAACGCTGGATAAATATCCCCCAAGAAAAAAAAGCTCTGTTAGAATAAACCGCTCTGTTTTATGACTAATAAAACTGCTTACCTTCCGTGCCTGCCCTCGACATAGAAAAGTCTAGAATAAACCTTATTGGTGGTTTTTATGTATTTCTTGGGAGATTAACGCCGGTTAACGAGGACATTACGGGCTTTGCAGCGAGGGGAAATCTGCCTGTATTGGTATTTTGTGCAATTCGGGAGTGGGCACCCACGGGAGCTGCGCACACGCGGTGCACATGCAGAGGCTCAGCCCCATCCCCGCGCAGGATCCGACCCCGCTGTTGCCATTTTCGGGGCATTTCTCCCCCCCCCCCCAAGCCCCTCCAGCCCCATTTCGCCCTGACATTGCAGGGGGGTGCGACCCGCGCTGCAAATATGGGGGGAAAAAGTGAGAAAAAGTGGGTGTGGGTGCACCCACCCGAGTCCCGTTTTCCTGCGCGCCGCAGAACTTCGCTATTTCTCCTCCTTTTTTTTTTTTTTTTTTTTTTTTTTTTTTCCTTCCCCCAGCCCTCCTGGGCAGAGTCCAGCAATTTCAAGCCCTGAGGCATTTAAATCCTTTAAGCTTGGTGGGTTTTGGGTTAAGAATGTCTGAAGCCCACAGAGGAGCCTCCAGACAGCAGGCTGCGTGTGAGGAGCCTTGTGCTTCCTTATCTACAATATCTGGGTAAACATCCCGTCTCCTCCTGCATCCCTGGGCTCGGGATGATGTAGTCCATTTATCAGCAAGGGGGAAAAAAAAAAAAAAAAAAGATAGAAAGAAAAAAAAAAAAAAAGAAAGATACACCCGGTTTTACAGATCAATGGACCTCGTTCAACGAAATGAGGCTGGTGGTAAGAGAAATGTTTAGAAAGTTCATCTCTCATCCGAGAAGTAGAGGAGAGACCTGAAGGCGTCACCGCCAGGTTTTGCTGTAAATAAAATAGGATGTAATAAAATATGATAAAATATAATAAAATATAATATTATTATAATAATAGCAATAATAATAATAATAGTAATCATAGTAATCATAGTAATAATAGTAAGATACAAGGATGTGGTACGTTAGGGATGCTGTCCATGGGGAAGAAGGTATGGATTTGGGGGTAGAGTAAAAGGGGCTTTGCGCCTATATAAATAAATAAGCTGTTTTCTCGCCAACTTCTTTTTTTTTTTTGGCGTGTTCCCCGATGTTTTCCGCCAGGGAAAGGTGTTGCCCCCGAGTGCCGAGCCCTCCTGCTGCCCAGGGCTCTGCGCGGGGCTCTGCGCGGGTTTTCCGCGCACACCTAACGCCTCTCGGGCCACCGAGCGCCCGCGGGGCTGCAGGCGGGGGCGGGGGGGCCGCGGTGCCCCCCGCCGCCAGCCCTGACCCAGCGCGGGGGGGATTTTTTTCTGGACCAAGGGTTTGACTTTCCAGATCTTTCAAATGGCACTTCCCAGCTGGGAGAAGTAAAAACGCAGCCGCACACCCTTCATGCACTTTATTCCCCCCTTCCCACCCCACAAAAAAAGACTTAACAGTGCTGGAGTCATTGGAATATTTGATTTTATTCTTTTTTTTTTGTTGTTGTTTTTTTTTTTTTTTTTTTGGCGGACCTACAGCTTCAGTCAGACAATTAGCAGCAACATTGTCATTTTTAATGAGCATTTGCCATTGCAGCAGTGAAATGCCCCGCTCAGGCTCCGGCCAGGGAGGCAGGAGCAGAAATCCTCCCCCTGCCCGAGCTGGTGGTTGAGCCAAGATGTTCTGATTTCCTCCCAAATAAAGATGAGCCTTGGTTTTTGAAGCGTGCCAAAGATGATTTGAAGGATGAAATATTAGTCAGAGCCCACTCTGAGTGATGTGTACGTGTGGGTGCTTTTAAATAGAGACATAGCACTGTAGGCAACGCAGTCCTTTTAAAATCTTTTATTATTATTATTATAATAATTATTATTATTTACGTAATGTCTCACGTATACAATACAAATCCACGGTGTCCAGAAATGTTTTTTTTTTTTTTTTCTTTTTCTTTTTCTTTTTCTGGCGGTAATTGCTACATTCAGAGTTTGAACACGCAGAACTATGCTTTTACATAAAACAAATGACGATTTTTTTTTTTTGTTTCGAGCATGTTGCATTAACAGATAAGTCAAGACAAATAGATAACTATACATTCAGTGCAATTTAGTTCTACACTACTTTATAAGCACAATAAAATAATACAATACTGTGCGTTCTCAACTAGGCAGTTTCAGTTGTTGGGATTTTTTTTTATTTTTTTTTCCAAGAAAATAAGCAGCAACAAACGACAATAAAACCGCATTACAAATACTTTCAAAGCATGACTCCTTCTATAGGTAGTGATAAAGTACAATACAAGGTTGGTTGGGTTTTTTTATTGTATTTTTATTATTATTTTATGCTACTTAGTAGCTTGCATCAGGGCAAAAACACAGCTCGCTCTCTCTCTTAAATAAATTCTGACCAAGTAAAATTTAGGATATGTAAGCCCCTTGTTGATAATAGATTTGATAATTATTGCAGGTTTTCCCTTTAGGTAGTACATGAAGAATTTCGAGTGCTCACACAGGCAAAGGGTAAACAGCGCCTATAGAAATAAGGAAGGGTTGCGTATTTTGGCCTATCAAGGTATATACAAGCCTCAGTCCTATAGAAATGGGGGGGTATATGGCGGGGGGGGTGTGTTTGCGGGCGCTACCAGGTATGCTCACCCTCCAAGCTCCTCTTCTTATCTGGCAGGGGCTGCAGGAACGGCCCCTCCGAGGGAATTGATAAATGGCTGGTAGGAATGGAGATCTCCACAGATAGACAGACACTACACAAACAAGCTAAGGAAGCTGGAAGCACCCTCGCACTTCCCCTAGGGTCATTCGGGAGAGGCAGAACCCAGCTTAAAAAAAAAAAAAAAAAAAAAAAAAAAAAAAAGAGGCAAAGTCAAAGTTGTTCAAGTAAATACATATTCTGCACCCATCCGTGTGTGCAGCTTCTCAGGCGGGAGCAGAGGGAGCAAGGGACGAGCAATGACATTTGCTTCCAGGCTTGGCTCAGGGGGGTTGGGGGTGGTTTTGCTTTGCTGGATCATTTAATTTTTTTCTTTTTTTTTTCCTGCTCTTGCAGTCAAGCCAACTATGTATTTATTGAACTAAAAACGCAGCTATTAAAAAAGAAAAAAAGGGAGGGGGGGAAAGTAGGGGAAGTTTCTATGACAGTAAAAAAGGCTACAACTGTTTGACAGGTAGTTACTGCTGTGTGAGCCTCTCCATTCTATACTCTATAAAAGCAAATGACCGTCGTAAACATCTCGATTTATCATCTGCCATAAAACGAGACTTCAAGGGGCTGAGAACTCAGTCCTTGCTTTCTTCTTTTTCCTCCTCTTCTTTTTCCTCTTCTTCATTCCCTTCTTCTTCCGTTTTCTCCTCGTCCCTGGCCCCCGGCAGCTTATCTTTATTGTTTTCTTTTTTCCACTTCATCCTCCTGTTCTGGAACCAGATCTTCACTTGTCTCTCGGTCAGTCCCAGGGCGTGAGAGACCTCAATCCGCCGCTTCCGTGTCAAATACGGGTTGAAGAGGAACTCCTTTTCTAACTCCAGGGTCTGGTACCGGCTGTAAGTTTGTCTGCCACTGCGTCTTCCGGGAGCTGTAGGACACAAACATCAAATAACTTCTTAATTCTCCCCCCTTTGGAGGCTCTGCTCCCCCCCCCCCCCCCCCAGCCCCCCTCGCCTCAATTTTCCTAGAGAAACTGCTGCCCCCCCTCCCCAAAAAAGCCCCTCTCAACCCTTTGCATATTAAAGGCACTAAATGAAGGTCGCTGGGTTATTATTAGTAATCATAGGGCTGATATTGCTATTAATGCTGGAGCCAGCTGCCCTTCCCTGCTCTGCCTGGGGAGTCTTCAGCTCGGGCTGCTTGGCTGGGTGCAGGGAGGTGTGTGTCAAGCTCATTCACAAAAGAGACCTTTCCAGTTTCCTAAAAGGTGATTCTGGATGGTGAGTCCTGGTGGGCAGCTTCATTTTCTAAAAAAATATATATATTTTTTCCTAAGAAAGGTGCATTGTTCACCATAAAATCCTCCCCAGCCTTTCTCCTCCCCATTCCTTTTTCTTTCTTCCTTTTTCTTTCCTTCTTTCTTTCCTTCTTTCTCTCTTTCTTTCATTCTTTATCTCTTTCTTTCATTCTTTCTTTCATTCTTTCTCTCTTTCTTTCATTCTTTCTCTCTTTCTTTCATTCTTTCTATCTTTCTTTCCTTCTTTCTATCTTTCTCTCTCTTTCTTTCTTTCTGTCTTTCTCTCTTTCTGTCATTCTCTCTCTCTTTCTTCTTTTCTCCCTCTTTCTTTCTTTCTCTCTTTCTCTCTTTTCCCCTCAAAAAGCCCAACTCTGGTTTCCTTTTCCAACTATTCTTCCAAAAATACAGACTCAGGGTCCTCCTATTTGCTAATATTTACACCCTGAGAATTTGAATTTTCTATTAAATCCCCTCTCCCTGTCCTTTCGGTTAGGGCTGTGTGTCTGTAAAGCACACACAGACAGAGATGGATATTTGCCTGTGCAAACACAGAGATTGTATTTAAAACAAGTCGAGGTGGACATTTGCAGCAATAGCCAAAAAGGAAAGAAAGAGGACTGAGGTATGTGCAGCTGAGCCCCTGCACTTCCTTCTGCACGGTCCTTTCTTAATGAGAAAAACAATCTATTTGCAAAAAAGAAAAAAAAAAAAAAAAAAAAAAAGCTCCAGATTGGAATGATTGCATCCTTGAGACTACCTCTAGGTCAAAGCTTAGATAAATAACGTGTTTTCCTCTGCGTCTATCTCCCAGCCTCTGGGCCACATCCTCTACATGAGCCAGAACTCCTTTCTATTTTCCTTTTTTTGTTGTTAAATTTGGGTGGGGGTAGGGGAGAAAACTTTCGGGCTCTGATTGTCCTTAAAATTAACACTAACCTTCACATGTTTTGAATTAACAAGGCTTCTAGACAACCTTGGTCCTTAGGTGGGGGAAACTTGTACTTTGAAGTATTTCGGTTTCTGTGCAATTATCTGGACTTCACATGAGCAAAGTTCCATTCAGCCCAAATTATTTTGAATTTCCCACCCCCTTTTTTTTTTTTTTTTTTTAAGCCAGGACAGCAGACTGTTCTCCTCCACCCCACCCCATAGCTCTGAGCTAAGTTTCCTTTTCTGTTTAAACTTTTATCTCTAGGCTTTAAGAAACAGATGTAAAGTATTAGTAATACTTATACAAGTTCCCACCTTTCAGGCTTCGTCTCCAAGCGGTTATGAAAGGCTATATGACATTTAAAGAGCAGTGTATTATCAACATGCAAATAACCTCGTGGGAGCTGTATCTTATTGCCTATCCTCAAGGCAAGCAATAAAAAACAAGTTTTACTTTATTGTGATTTAAGCCTTTTGCAGGGAATCACCTTGCTGGCTCTCTAGTAACTGCTGCCTTGTTTGCTTTCAAAGGTCTTCCTAAAAAGAAGAAACATTAGCACAAAACTGCTCATTGCTTTCATATTTTACATCTATGCCTCTTATATTTATATTTATATATATATATATATATGTATGCATATGTGTGTATGTGCATGTTTATATATCTATACGTATGTTTGTGCTTGTATATGCATACATATATATATAGATAGACAGACAGACAGAGAGAGAGGGGAGAGAGAGAGAGAAAGAGAGAAAAAAATAAAGGAAAACATTTAAGGAGGAGGAAAAAAAGGTCCTAACCGTGAGGTCTCATCCATGGGAACATGAGACTGGGAGACGAATTTTGATTTAAATGCCCTTGTCCCTCGCTAGAGTTACTGTTGGAAGACGATTTACAGTCAGGATATTGTACAACAGTCGTCTCTTGCTGAGCACCATAAAGCGATTGCCTCGGTAGAGCTTCATATCCATAGAATTTAGAAGCGTCTCCGTGACACGCCAAGGCGCATGGGTTTTGCTGGTATCCAGAGTTGGAGATGCTGGAGGTTCCGTGGTGGAAAAACTCTTGGACGTGGTGTGAAGGGTGCTGGAAGGTGGGAGCAGTAGTGCCCGGACCATACACGAGAGCATGGCTCCTGCTAACACTTTGTGGAAATCTGCAGTCGTAGTAAGTTGGCTCCAGCGATTCACCGCCTTTGTACTTGGAAAAGAGAGGATTTACAAAGTAGGAACTCATGACCCTCGCATGCAAAAAAAAAAAAAAAAAAAAAAAAAAAAAAAAGGAGAAAAAAAAAGGAAAAAAAAAAAAAAGACGGCTTTAATTCTAGATTAGTGCGAGATTGTCCCTGGACTGTCTCAAGTCCTGCTTTTTAGTGGCTTTTTTTTTTTTTTAATGCGATCTCAAAGGCGTTTCATGGTGCCTCTGTGTGTCTGTACGGTTGGTTCTCGGTGCTCTTGACTTCTCTTGTAATCTGTCGGTAGGTAGAGCTCTCTCTCTCAATTTCTCTGTAACTCTGCTCCTTCCCTTTAACACCACAGGCAAATTCCTCAAAATCCCGGTGGTGTGGCTCTTTTTTTTTTTTTTTTTTTCTTCTTTTTTTTTTCCCTCCTCTCTCCCCTCACACGCGATATGTACACATCCCTCCGCCACGCTGAGACAGCCTGCCAGCCAAATGACAGCGTTTTGGGGCGCGCTTTTTTTTTTTTTTTTTTTTTTTTTTTGTAGGAGGGGGGGAATGGAGGAAAGGTGGTGTATGTCGGGGGGGTGACACACACACACACAACCCTCCGGAGAGGGGGGGCACCCACACCTAATGAGTGGAGGAGGGTGAAGGTGCGCATTAATATCCAACCCCCCCCCTTTTTTTTTTTTTTTTTTTTCCCAGCAGCAGCCTCTTCACTGATGGCAGCAAATACATGCGCTGGGAGGTCAGCCTAGGTAACCTCAACAGGTAAAGGGAGCCCAAGCAGCCCCCCCTTGCCCTCCCCATCACCTCCCCCCTCCAGAAAAATTCGGGGTGAAGCTTATTCTAGTGCTCAGCATCGCCCCCCCTCCCCTCCCCTGGGCTCACCCGTTTACCAGGGAGGATGGTGGGGGTGCCCCTGGTGTTGTTGTTGTTGTTGTTGTTGTCATTGTGTTGGGGTCCGGGGGGGCTGCGAGGGTGGGCTTGCTCCCACCTAGAGGGGGGCAGAAAAGGGAGGGGGGTTCTGCTGGGGTTGGAGTGCTGAGCCCAGATTTCCTTTTATTTTATTTTCCTTGGTTTTGTTTTTTTTTTTTTGTTTTCTTTTTCCTTTTGTTCCTTTTTTTGCCTTTTTTTTTCTGGGGGGTGTGTGTGTGTTGTTGTTATTGTGGTGATGGTGGTTGGAAGATTGGAATCAAACAAGCAAACAAAAGCAAAACGGGAGCGAGCGGGCGAGGGAAGCGTCTCCGTATTGATTGGCTGCTTCTTGCTGTCCTTCTTTAAAGAAAATAAAGGCAGAAAATTATGGGGAGTTATTTATTATTTTTTTTTTCCCCCCTTGCTTCCTTTCAAACCAACCACTGAAAATCCACGGCTGGAAATAACAGGGAAGCTTCCTTCCAAGGGAATAAAGTAGACCATTGCTTAAAGAGAGCTACTTTGGACGAAAGAGAGGCAAAGTGAGACAGAAAGTATGTACTCCCCTTTGTGCATGCCTGTAAAAAATAACCATCGACCTTTTTCTTTTTTATTATTATTTTTTTATTGTTGTTTCGCTATTCAACATAGCGATTTTCCCCGTCTTTTCCCATTGCAAGTGGTATTTGTGCCCCTCGCCCCCACTTTTTTGCACCGTAAGTGACCACTCACTGCAACCTTTCACTTCGGACACTTCATTTTTACGACTGCATGAAGGAACTCCGCTCATTAAAAAATCACATCAAATCACCAGGATTCGTGTTAATTTTTCGAGGGGGGTGGGGTGGGTGGGGTGGAGGGAGGAGGACACACTTCGCAAATCAGTATTTTCTGTAGAGCCGCAAAAAATGTCAAGCTCACTAAAATGACAGTGTGTTATAAACAGTCCCCGTGTTTTCCCAAAAAGTCTACAGACCTTCAAAGCTTTCCCTCATGTTCTTCCACCATAAAAAAAAAAAAAAAAAAAAAAAAAGGCAGCCTAATTATTTTCAGAAGAGACCTGGGTGACTCTGACCGATTTCAAGTGTGGAGGGAGAAAAATCCCATCTCAGCTGCACTCGCCAAGCTGTTTTGAGGTGTGTTTTTCTGCCCAGTAAAGGTCACATTCTCAATTTTTTTGAGGCATGGGTTGACTCAAACCTCTGGTGAGGTTGAAACTGTACTTTTTTTTTTTTTTTTTTTTTTTTTAAACACCTTCCCAAGCAGAGGAAAAGACCCAGTAGCCACCCAGTCCACCTTTATTAGATTTTCTTAAATCGAGGGTATGTTTCCATTTACAAAGGCTACATGTGGTGGGGTTTTCCTCCCCGTAATCAGACAATGAACTGTGCAGGAGAACAGTGATTTTTTTTCCATCACCTATTGTGAAAATATTTTTAAAAATCAAGCTACGTTTGCTGTGAAGAAATAGTCTCCATACCCGAATAATCTCAAGGGCGGCACGATGACCATATTCATTTTTACAGAACTCATCCACCTCATCCCCCCTTCCCCAGATTGCCCCTTTCCTAGGGAACTCCCCCCCCTCCAAAAAAAATGAAGAAAAGAGCAGCTAGGGAAAGAGGCTCCTTAATTAACAGCTAATAGTCGAGGTGACCATTTTCCTCCTCTAATCAATAGCATTTCTATTTTTAAAATCCCAATGCCTGCCCATGCAATAAAAGCAGCCGTGCAAATTAAAGTGAAAAAAAAAAAAAAAAATTAAAGTTGTCAGATCTGAGCAGTTCGGGCTGGGATTGAGAAGAGCTGCTGCATTTTTCCAACCCTTATCCCTGGCTGCAGGAAGCAAAGGTGCAGCGAGTTTTTCCGAATCCTACCTTAGGCTGGGAAAGAAATGTTTGCTGTGAAAGAAAGGACCCCCCACCCCCTTCCAGATTTCATGAAATAAGATATATGCAATTGCCTGCTTCTTTTTAAGGAAAAAAATCTTGACATTTACTGTCTGGGGAAAGTGCTGCTCTTTGTCTTTACTGTTTTGGCCGTGTTTAGATGTGGGGGTGGGGGGGTGATGTGTCTTGCGGGTGCATGTGCTTGAATGTAGCTTTATCGGTGTGGCTGTATTGTACTTTTAGGTGTTTCATTGTACCCTCCCGGAGTTTATTTTGTGTTCCCCCCCCGCCCTTTGCCCTGACCTTCACTGAAAAATGTCATTCCCTCCTTCCCCACCCCAAAATGAGGAGGCTTTGGGGAGATACGTGACGTGCGTAAATAAAGAGGGGAGGGGGGCGGGGGGGGGGGGGGGGGGGGGGAGAAGCAGGTCTAAACCCACAACAAAATAGGCAATTTCTCTGTGCAAGCATTTTTATGAGCTCCCCGCGCCGTCAGCTGTCAGCCCTGAGCGCCTCTCCGCGCTCCCCACAAAAAAAAAAAAAAAAAAAAAAAGAAAAAAAAAAGAAAAAAAAAGAAAAAAAAGCGCTCTTTATGGGGGTTTTCAGCACGGTGCGGGGCGGGGGGTTGGGGGGGGTGAAGTCAGGCAGCTCCTCGCTTCCCCCCCTGCCCCTCACTCCTTTCCATCCCCGGGCGCGGAGCCGTTCCGCGGGTGCGGGGGAGCCGCGGGCGCGGGGCGCTCCCCGCCGCGCGCAGCCCCGCGCTAACATTGGGCAACAGCGCCATCTCGCGGCCGCGCAGGGGCTCAGCGCCGCGGGCGCGGAGTGGGGGGGGAACGCGGATTACCGGGCGGCGCGTTACACCCGATAATCCCTTACCGGTCCCTCGGGGGTGGGGGGGACCCCCCAGCAGCGCAGCGCGGTGCGGCCGCCCCCCTGTAAAGAGTCAAGCGCGGGCACGATTTGGGGAAAAAGCCATTTCCCCCACCCACCCCTTTTTTTTTTTTTTTTCCTTATTTCCCTCTTTTCTCACCCATAAAAATAACAAAAAAAAAAAAAAAAAAAGGCAAAAAGCAGCACACACACGCAGGACCAAACCAACCCACCAGCTGTGCCACCCCTCCTCCCCTTCCCCCCCCTCCCCGCTTTTATCAGTTTTGGCTTCGAGTTGGGGTTGGATTTTCTTCTTTTTTTTTTTTTTTTTTTTTTCAAATCTCCCCTCCTCCGAGGGGGGTCTGTTGTTTGTAGCTTGTAGACAAAACATTCCAATAATCCGGTTTCAAAGAGAAGAGCACCCACCTTATTTAAACCATAAAGCAATTAAAGCCAGACGTCTAGCCAGATCTAGGGTCCTGTTTTGTTCGCTCCTATTCAGCCCCGCATAGCAGGGAGACAAACAGAGTTGTAAAAGTGGCATTTTTTTGGCTGCGGAAATGTACCTATGGACAGCTGGAGGGTCCTGTCGGTTTTGTGTGCCTTACAAAAGGGCAGATTTGAAACCAGGCACACACACCCCACACACGCACCAGACAACCCCCCCCCCCCCCCCAAACCTCATATACATGCCTATAGATTTTTTTTTTTTTTTTTTTTCCCTCCCCGAGAGCTATAAGCGCATCTCTCCTCGGGCAGAAATGCATGTGCATGTTCACAAGCGCCGGCACACAATAGCTGTATCAGTATGCGTCTGCACACACGCGCCATATGTCAAATAATGCCGAAATTGGAGCATTTTGATACATTAATCCGGGAAAAGGCTGGCCACAGGGTGTGCTGCTGGGTGCAAGCCGCATTTCTTTTCTTTTTTAAAATTATTATTATTTATTTTGAGCCACACTGGGATGGTTTTGTTGTTTTTTGGGGGTTTGGTTTTTTTTTTTGTTTTTGTTTTTTGTTTTTTTTCCCTCCGCTGGCTGCGGTGGCGGAGAAATTCAATGGCTGAGCCGCACCAGCGCAGCCTCCCAGCAGGGCCAAATGGCATTTTATAACTGGTGTAACCCTTCACCGGGGGACTCGGCGGCGGAGGGGGGGGGGGGGGTGTGGGGTGTGGGAAGTGGGGGGGGTGTGGGTTGAGGATACCGGGGGCCTTGCACATGAACTAAAACTGCGGCAGGATTTTAACCCAACCCAACCCACCACCAACAAAAGAAAGCCCCAACCAGCAGCTCGGTGCAGACAAAGGGGCATCTCCTGCGCTGCCCGCCGGCTCGAACGAGGGGTCTGGCCGGGGAGGGAGAGGGGCTGGGAGGGGGGAGAGGGGCTGGGGAGGGAGGGGGGGGGCGCTGGGGAGGGAGGGAAGGGGGGGGCAGGGGGAGGGAGCAGGCTGTGGTCGCACTGGAAATGAGATCCGCTTGAATGAAAGGGGGGCCAAAATGAACTTCCATACATCATGTCTTTTCAACATCGCTAAACGCTCCTGACAAGCCCCTCCAGAGAGCCGGGTCCGAAACTGCCTCCAAAGTCCTGTCCAAATGATGATGGGGAATTTTTTTTATTATTTTTTTTTCCCCCTCTTAATAATGATAAAACGGGGATGATTTCTCCCCTCTCGCGAAGAGGACGTGGGCGAGCCGCTTCCCGACCCTGCAGGACTTTATCTGAGGCGGGATGAACGCAGTGAGAGAAGCAGATGGAAGGAAAATAATAATAATAATAGTTTTTTAAAAAATGACATGACTTAGGTGGAAAGATTTCCCCCTTCTTTTTTTTTTTTTTTTTTTTTTTTTTGGTCCATAAATCTTTCTCTTTGCTATAATGTTTTCTAACCTGACCATTTCATTGCACTCGTTAAGGTTTTTCCAAACAGACCTAGCACAAAACTGGGATTGTAAAAGGGCTTTTTAGCTTCCCCTGCTCCAGGGATGTCTCCGCTGATAGACCGCGGTGCGCCTGTCCCCCTCCGGTGACAAAAATAGACCCCGGTTTAAAAGCGAGGACACAAATCAGGGGAAGGAAAAGAAACCTCCAAATGCTTCAGCAAGAAATATTAAAGAGCAATATTTTATGAGATCAGCAGAAGTAATCGCTTCCAGATTTTTTTATTTCGGAGGAACCGGGACGAGGGCGACAAACGTATCTTGCTCGCCTGATCTGGTTTTGATTAGAAAGATTAAAACGTTGCTCCACTCATTTCATTAAAGAAAGGGACCTATAACAAGTTTTTATGATTAAACATCCCTCGCTGCTCATTTTTTATACAATCTCCTGCCTCTTGTTTCTCATTCAGCAGCCTGGAAAGCGCCCAGAGAAGGAGCCATTGATAAATCCCGGCTCCAGGCGCCGTGGGCAGCGTGTTTTCTCGCCTCTGCACAAGCCACGGCAGCACCAGCCCCATCTCGCCCTGGCAGGACGGGGGGGGGTTGACCTTTCCGCAGCCAACAACCCTTTTTTTAAAAAAAAAAAAAAAAAATCTTCCCCTGTGTAGGGCGAAGGGGGGTGTGTGGTGTGTCTGCTTTTCTACTTTTTTTTTTTTTTTTTTTTCGCCTTTTAGCCCGAAAATTTGCAGGCTGCCGCATCGCCACCAATTTATTTCTTTATTCCCCTGGTCTTTCTTTCCCTCCAGCCCCTTTCCACCCCAGACATTTCTTTTTTTTTTTTTTTTTTTTTTTTCCCTTCTCCTGAGCTGTCTTGTGAGAAGCAGCACTTCCAGCAACCCTTCAAGTTTTGGCAACCCATCGATAAGGCAGAAGCAACCCCTGAGTGGATGGCAGGGAGCGGATGCCTTTGCCAGCTCCTCTATTCCCAGCATCCATATTTAGTCTTTTTACATATCCTTCGATTGCCTGGGGTCATAAATTAGTACAATTAATTATCCCAATCTAAAAATTGATGGCACATATAACCCTTACCTCAGCGCCTTTTTATTATGGTACTCTGAGATAGAAAAGTGCGGGGGAAGGAAGCAGAAATCTCCGCTCTCCTCCGGCCGCGGGGGATGCGCGGGGCCGCCCCGCCGAGGCACCGGCACCGGCACCGGCCAAGCCCCGGGGCGGCCCCTCTGCAAAGGGCTTGAAATAAAAAGACACCTACATACTGATTTTTTTCTTTTTTTTTTTCTTTTTTTTTTTTTTTTTTTCCCGTGACGTTAGGTATATTTACATAGAGCTGCTCTACAATAGCGAACATAACAATATTACAGAACGGTTCTGAGACGAGAATAAAATACACAAATAAGTACAGCAGAAACGTTCAACACCATGACAGAACATCATTGAGCCATATTCCCTTCAGTCTTTTTTTTTTTTTTTCTCTTTTTCCTCTCTTTTGTACAAAATATTCACTCACGAGCTCGCGGAATTAAAAAATAAAAATACTGGATAAGTTTAATTTATGAAATAAAATACTAAAAAAAAAAAAAATTCAAGTACTTCTTGTGTTTGTTTTCTGAGGAGGACAAAACAAAAAACGAGGAAGAAAGGAAGAGAAAACAAACCCCCCAAACATCTTTCTTTTATTTAGTTGCATTTTAGAAAAGACTCGTGTCCCAAAACGCTTGCTGTGTTTGCCTATAATGCTAAACATTCATCCACACATTCAAAGTCAGAAACATTTCAAGCCCCCAAAACAGCCTCTTTTTTCTTTTTTTTTTTTTTCTTTTTTTTTTTTTTTTTCTCTCCACCCTCGTTTCTCATTGACTGGACTTTGCCAACTTTATTGCTGTTCTTTATCGGTTTTTTCTTTATTCATTTTCTTCATTTTCATTCGCCTGTTCTGAAACCAGATTTTGACTTGGCGTTCAGTGAGATTAAGGACTCTGGCTACTTCGTACCTCCGGTCCCGTGTAAGGTACATATTGAATAAAAACTCTTTTTCCAGTTCCAGGGTCTGATACTTTGTGTAAGGACATCTTTTCTTCCTCGTGGAGCGCGCATGAATCCAATTTGCGACGGGATTGTCTGAGAAAGAAGATTTTTATATTTTTGGGGGGGAAAAAAAATCAATGTATACAGCTGGCCTTTCTTCCCTCCCCCCCTCCACGCCCTGTTGTATCTATAGAAAGAAACCTGTTTAATTAGCAGATCTTACCTAAATATTTTAAGTGACCTTCAGAAGAGTTTAATCTGTTTATTTTGGAGGGGTCATTTCCTTTTCTTTTGCTGCTGTTCTCACATAAAAGTTTCAGTAAATAAAACTGTAGCAATGGGTTTAAAATAATAATTATCCACATGACTGCTACTAGCAGTAATCTAAGAACATAGTCATAAAAAGTCAAAATTCCCACCATTTCATAGGCCCATAAACTCTTTTTACAACCTCAGCTCTCCAATACTTTCCCTAGAAGCTTTCACAGACCTGGAAAGCCGAGTTTGTTTTTTTAATATCTTAAGGATGACACGCAAGATGCCCCACTGGCTCTCAGAAATTGGCTTTTCTTTTTTTTTTTTTTGTCTCTCCCCCCCTTAGCCTAAAGGACCTTCCAGGCTGCTGCCAGGGGAGCAAACCCATCTCTCCCTTCCTTGGGAGAAGTTTTTTCCCCCTCTGCTCGTTTTAGACAGCTGCCTGCCAGCAAAGGGAGACTTTCACCCCCTGATTCCTCGACTTATTTTTATCACGAGGGTGCCTGGCACCAGCCCGCCTGTCATAAATAGAGGTGTGAGCGCCTTTCCTGATAGAGAGCGAGATACCGAGGCACCAAGGTGCTCTTATCTGCTGTCACCCCGCTTTAGCGCTCGGAAATCCCCCCACATCTTAGGCCGGGAGAAAGGGGGGGGGTCTCCCCAAACACAGGGCACGGCCGAGGGGGCGAGGGGGGTGCGGTACCCGGGTGGGTGCACCCGCAGCATCCCCCCTGCATCCCCCGCGGATGCTGAGCATCTCTCCGGGAGGGGTTGGCGAGGAGGGGTTGGGTTGGGTGAGTTTGGGGTTGGTTTTTTTTGTTTTTTTTGGTTTTTTTTTTAAACCAAACCAAACCAAATAATAATCGTGGGAGCTGAGCTCCTGCCTGCATCCCCCAGGAGCTGGTCCCCCTCTGCAGAGCTGGGGTCCCACTCCCCGCGCTGCAGGCTGGAGCTGAGGGTGGTGGTGGCGGGTACCTGACTCCTGTCCCTACAATGTCCAAGGTTTCCTGATGGCTGAGTTGGGGGGGTTTTAAGTTTCTCCCTCCCCCCCTCCCTCCCCTCACTTGGGCTGCAGAAGATGTTTCTTCAAGTGTATGGTCCAATGTCCTGCGCTCGCTGCCTTTTGCCCCCAGCTACCTCCACACACGTAGTTTATGCCTTTACAATTCCAATTTTCCTCCTTACTTCTCCCCTGCACACCCACCCACCCCCGGCCCCCTGTCCAGGGCACCCACCTTTTCATTTATTCCCACATGTTGGAGCATTTTATGAATAATTGCACCGGTGGAGCTTTTATTGATTTTTAAAATAGATAAAGAGACACCTCTGCATCTATCCAGAGATATTCCTTTCCCCTCCCCCCAAAAAACCACATCAATACGTTCACTTCCAGCCAGCTACAACTCTTCCTTGTTCTTTGAAAGTCGAAATATTTGAAAGCAAAGAGGCTTCTCCCTCTGCCTACCCCCCTCTCGCTCCCTCTCACACACGCACTCTCCTTCTCTATTTTTTTTTTTATTATTATTATTATTTCTTTTTTAATTCCCCCCGGTGAAAGGTGATGAATATTTGATCAAAGCAGCCAACAGCCCCCCCCCACACGCCCCTTGCACAAAAAAAAAAAAAAAAAAAAAGAAACAAAAACAAAACCAAAAACTAAAGAGCCCAAAACAAAGTACAGATATTTGCTCTCCGGCTCTGCTAGGCGGACTCGCTCAAACCCCCAGATCTTCCTGCGTATCTGGAGTTTTAGGGTCGGGCTCTCTAAGGTAATTTCATTTTATTGAGTAGGGTCCTGGAAGCCGTAATGCCTCCCCGGTCGTAAACAAGAATGACTTCGACTTACTAGGGTCTAATTCGTGCTTTTCTTCTTTGTGTTTGCTGGAAGCGATGGCTTCGGACTCCGGGGAAGGAATTGTCTGCGCTGCTCTGTCTCTCAGCTCCCCCGGAGCCGCGTACATGTAGTCCGCGTAGCCGCGGCCGTCGGCGGGGCCGCACTCCCCCCGCCGCCCGGGGAAGGCGTCGGGCTTGAGGCCGTAGGGGCGAGCACCGGGGGCGAAGGCCGGGAAGGAGACGGCCCCGGCGAGGGGCTCCAGCCAAGTCCGCATGTACCTGGGCTCGGCCCCCACGGGTGCCTGGGGAGCGTAGGGGTGGTAGCCCACGGAGGATTGGGAGTGGACGGGAGCCCAGGAGGTGGTAAAAACGGCCGGCTTGGGGGCGAAACTGCAGGACGGAAAGTCGGCACAGTCCGGGACTAATCCTGACGGTCGGGCAGCAGCCGGGTGGGAGGCAGAGCTGGGGAACCTGGAGGCCAAGAGCTCTTCGTTCTCGTGGCTTATCAAGGAGTCAACATAGTAGTTGCTTATGGGGCCAGAAGCCGACATGGTTCCCCCCTCTTTTACATTCATAAGATTATTGTATGAACTGTATGTGTACTTTTTATCTTCTCATAGAACAATCAGGGCAGGTAATTATTTTTTCAGCCTTTCCCAGTGTGCCATTGGCTGCCCGCCCTCACGTGATTGTATTTACCCAAAAATATAGCGTGGATCAATCCGCAGGTCTTTTTTTTTTTTTTTTTCTGTCTTTTTTTTTTTTTTTTTTTTTTTCCCTTCTTTCCTCCCAATAACGCGACCCGGCTTTTCCTAAAACTGATGGAAATGGGGCGGAGATGGGGAGGAGGGAGGCTCGGCCGGTCCTCAGCCGGGGGATGCTCTGCCCGCGGGCTGGGGGGGAGATTTGCCCTGGTGCTGAGGAAGGTGGAAGGTAATTGTGGAAGGTAGTCCAGGAACTATTTCTTGACGTAATTTGTCTCTGTCCTTTGCTTCTGCAGCTTCTAGCCTCTAATGGATACATTAAATTGAATATCGGTGGGAAGGGGAGAGGGGAGAAGTGCGGTGGAGGTGGGCTCCCCACTTGGAGAAAGGAGCTGGGGGGGGGGGGAGAAGCTTTTAGCCTAAAAGCAAAGGGGGCTTTTGTCATCTTTTGCAGCGCTGTCTCATCGTCAGGCTGCTCAGCAGCTGAGAAATCTGTGGGGCACAGGCACATCTAGTTCTGCTTTAGGAAATAAGTGTCTTCAGGAGGAAAAAAAATATATATATAGTATGAGGAGCATCTTTGAAAAGAGGAGGGGGAAATAATAATACCATCAGCCCCCCCCCGAAAAAAAAAAAAAAAAAAAAAAAAAAGAAAGACTGAGCTTTTGCAGTGAAAGGCTGCATTATTCGGCAAGTAGTCGTGGATGTTTTTATGTCCTTCAATAAAATTTTTACGAGGATCATTTGATTGTTCATAAATGTGTCGTTCATTAAATAAAACCGTAGGACTGAGTTTCAGCTATATAGCTGAGGATGAGAGAGCTTTTGCGTATCAGGAGGAAGCAACAATGTGTGTTGGGCACATGATTGTTTTTCTTTTTTTTTCTTTTTATTTTTTTTTGTTAACGCCTGGAAACTTTTCTTATTGCACCAAATCGATTGAAGAAGTTGGGAGCGTTAAAAAATCCGTGATAGCCTGCCTGCATTTTGAGAGAATAACCTTTCCTTTGTAAGGAAAGACAGGTAGGTAAATAGCTCACGCCCATTGGAGTCTGGAAGAAGGGAGTTAGGCGATTTCTCTGGAAGAAAAAAAAAAAAAAAAAAAAAAAGAAAAAAAGATACCTAACCAAAAATAACCTCTCATGATTTTTTTTTTAGAAACAGAATCCCCCCAAAATATGGATTGTCTGGGCTCTCCAGGGCTCTCCATCACCTCGGGGTTTCTAGGGCTGGGGGGGGTACATGGAGGGAAATGGTAAAAATGTGCAAGAAGGAGGCAAAGTGTGGGCTCAGGAAGGGCTGGGGGTTCCTCCCTGGGAGAGGCAGGCGGGGGGTGGGCAGGGTGTCTCCAGTGAGGCACCAGTCACCAGTGACAGGCGTCCTGTCCAGGCTGTGCAGTCCCACGGAGCGACACGCCAGAAGCCTCTGCAATTATTATTATGATTATTTTTCCCCTCAGTAAGTTGCATGGGAAATGCGAGCAGGAGGAGGAAAGAGGTTAAAGCAGATTCAGGGATAAAGAGGCAAGAAGGAGTGATGCTGCCAGGAGAAACACCCCCCCCAGCCCCTCCAAACTTACCCCTCAGCTGAGCCAGGATAAAATCCTGCACCTCAATTCACAGGGCTCGAGCAGAAAATAAATAAATAAATAAAATAATGCACCAGGCTGCCCTTGCTGCTGCTGGAAATAGGATTTCCCTCTCGAAAACTAGGGAAGGCTTTAAAATCAAAATATGACGGGAGGTGTTTGTCAAGGGACTCCGGATTCTCCAAATTCGAAGAGAAAAGTAATCGACTCGCTCCCCCACAGAATTTATTCCTCATTCCGTTTTAAGTCCCCTGCTTTATGTGAGCCCTTAAAGGGAAATATTCCTGCAGGAGCAGAATGTCTTCTTTGGCCTTTATCGAGACCAATTTATCTGTCAATCAACGGTCTCCAATGACGGTTATTTTTATGTTCGCGAGAAAAAAAAATATATATACTCATCATTCTTTTATCTATTCCCATTTTAAAAATACTCACTCTGCAGGGCTGCTAATGTAGTGGGCTGTGACGTGTGGAGGGGAAAAAGCAGCTTGGCTTTTCTACTTTGGTGGAATATTTTAAAGAGAATCCTTACAAAAGAGGGGCTGTCTGCAGATGTATATGCAGAAGGGGAGAGGGAGAAAGAAAAAAAAGAGGCAGAGAGAGAAGGAGGGAGAGAGAAATTTAAGACTGAGCATGCAGAGGGAGAGAAGCACTGAAAAGCAGAGTCAGTGGGGAGGTTTTCCGGAGGAAAAAAAATAAGAATGTCAAAATATACCACAGACGAACCGCAAAACGAGCAGAAATTACCAAAGCCACGCAGTTATAATAAGTAGCAGCAGTTTTTGTAACCTTAATGCAAGCAGGCAAGGTCACTAAATTAGTCGTGGATGGTGTGTGTTGGTGTTACACAAAGGCAAACATATCTGGCGCAGATTTCTTTTATTTGCACGGAAACCTGCAGCACACGGAACTATTCACTCCCCATATCTTTGTGGGATCTTAAATAAAAAATAAGATAGCGTTTATAACACCAAGCCCTTTCATTCAGGGACTGCTGCTCTCTGAGAATTAAGCAGTACAAAGCAGAGACGGAGACACTTCATCTTAAAGCAAACTAAAGACACGGTTTAAGACTAAAGACACGGCTTAAGACTAAAGACACGGCTTAAGACAACGTTTTCTCTGCTGCGGAATCCCGTAACACGATGTGAGCCCCCATAAAATTTAACACGATGTGAACCCACATAAAATATTGTCCTTTCACGCTTATCTCGACGTGAAACCATCCCCATGGATGAATGCAAAGTTATGTGAATAAAGTCCACTCAGAGTGCAGGGCAAATAAAGCAATATCCTGAAATATTCTTCTTTTCAGTAGCAATGTCCCCAAGCAAATATCCAGACTGGAATTAAAACACGCCTTGCTATTGAATTCAGCAGCTACAAGGTTATCTCGCAGCTTTTATACATGCTCCAGCTAGACTTCTATGCCTCCACAAAATCTTCGGTACTTGTTTAATGGGAGATTACCTCTTCTGAAATGATGGTGAACTATCACATCCCTTCCAGGCAGACTAATATCTTTTCCTCTCACCTCCCCTTTTGAATCTGCAGGGGAAAGAAACTTGATTGCATTGAGCAAAACTAACACTAAGAGTCCACAAACTGTATGAGTATTTATAATATTTTTTTTTTCCTGGCGGAGAAAAAAAAATAGTAATAATTAAAAGAAAAAAAAAAAAAAAAAAAAAAGAACAGAGTCGCAAATGAGGAGGTTACAGAAAACCAAGCCTTTGTCTGACCACTGTCCTGCCCAGTTGACTTCTGACACCTTTTCGGAGCTGAATGCTTCCCATGTTCGCCCTGCTCCCTGCAAGTGCTGTGTGTGCTCAGCCCGAGCTGCATCCCTGCCCTGCCCTGTGCGCGCAGCCAGGCTCTTTCCTCACTTCCAAATCTTTTGGTTTCGCTTTGAGAAATTCTCCCCTGATTGGAAGGAACGGAGACAAAAAAATAACCCTAATAAAAAAAAAAAAAAAAAAAAAAAAGACAGAAGAGGGAGGAAATAAAAAAAAAAAAAAAAAAAGAAAAGAAAAAACAACTATTGGACAGCCTGCCTGCTGAGGTGACACTGCTTTCTTGGGATTTTTCTTGCTTTTTATTTTTTTTTTAAATTATTCTCTCTTTTTTTTTGCAAAAAGTGGTGATAAGGAAAAGCCAGCCTGCGGTCCCCAGGAATTGGGGAGGAGGGGGACATATCCCCCTCTCCCTGCCGCAGCTCCAGGCCCGAGCAGCAGCAGAACCTTCCTCCGGAGCGGGGCTGCGGCTGCTGCCCGCCGGGGCACCCCGAGGCTGGGGCCCGCACCGCGGAACTCCCGCGGGGGCAGCCGCGGAGCCGCATCCCGGCCGGGCCGGGGGCCTGGGGCTGGGCAGACCCCGCGCCCCCACCCCCCTCGACGGGCAGACAAACGGAGCCCCCTCCAGGAATGGGGAGAAAAACAAAACAAAACAAAACAAAAAACAAACCACACAACCCCATCCACATTCCCTCGGTTCAATTAACACTGTCAAGTTCGGATTAAAAAAGAAATCGGCGTTTTCTCGGCTCCTTTGCCCCCCCCCCGGCCCCCCCTGCACACCTCCAGCCCCTGCTTTGGAGGAGCAGGGAAGGGCGGTGCTGGTTTCACATCCCTCCAGAAGCGAAACGAAAGTAACCCTCCAGCCAGCCCCAGCTCCCACTCCCCGCCTGCATCTGCAGCCCTAACCCAGAATAAAGTTCCCTTTTCCCCCCTTTCTTTGTCCCTTTCCATTCCCTTCCTCTTCTCTTTTGCCTGCCCAAGTTCTTTCTTTCTTCCTTTTGTTCCTTCTTCACCCCTCCTTTCCTTTTTTTTAAAAAAAAAAAAAAAAAAAAAAAGAGGGAAAAAAATTGTACACAATAGATCGAATGACTCTAAAGCAGAATCTCTGAAGAGCCTGCAAAATATTTCCTGATCCCCCAGATGCCTCTGTTTATTCCAGGATTGTCTCTTAAAGTAAATAAATATGGGGAAAGATTCATTTCAGGCCAAATACCATCCGTGAATCTTGCAGCAGCGCGACTGCAGGCTCTAGGCTTTGCCTTTCCCCACCCTGCTAAATCCTTCGACTGCTTGGAAATCATATTTATTCAGGCTTCCTTAAAAGTTATCATATAGAAAAAGCTCCCCAGGACAACAATTGACCGCTGGAACTTGCACGCACATCGCTTTCTATCAACGTGAAAACTTCAATCGGAGTCACTATGGGAGTCATAGCTAAGGCAAGGAAAATCAGATTCAGCTTAAAATGACACTGCAGGAGTTTTTTACCTGTTTAAGTGCTTCCCCCCCCCC